CATTTTCAAGGTACTTTTGGCCAGTGCAAGATTGCCTCAACAATGTAATCCATTAAGGTTAAGTAAAGTTTGGATGAAAAAAAGGTAAAAAAAACTATCAAAAATGATGAGTTTTGAGAGAACCACAAAAAATACAAACTTACGAGGCTTACTGAAGTTTTTTTTGTTCAACTTATTTTTTCAACTTGTACTTGTACTTGTTGATGTTGTTTGTTAATGTTGATAACTGATAACTTGCTTCTGATTATTATAAGGTTATTGTGTTGATCATCTGTGGGTTAAGATGAAAAAAAAACTTACATTTGGGCCAAACTTGTATTATGATATTTAAGTTGCTGGAAAATATGAAACATTGCATGAAACATCAGAAGTTATTTTAAAGATGATAATGATGAGAGGGAGGAAGATGAAGTTTGAAAAAAAACTAATTCCAAATGAGTATCATTTTCAGACAAAAGTTGCTTTTTTTTGCTTTGCTTGTCTTGGACATATATTTTATACCTTTTTTTTACCTTCCAGGATAACAATGATAATGATTATAATAGCAATAACTTCAATATTAATGATAACACAAGAATAAGTGCAACTCTACGTTGAAACGAATAAACGTTTTCTCTTTGAGTTTACCTTTTTTTGTTCATTTCACTTTTCTTCTGTTCACTTTCATGATTGCTGTTGATAAAAACAATATATTTTAAGTATAAGGTTAAGTGTATCAGAAGAGATCAAAAATTGTTTCAGGTAAGTTTCATATTATTGTTATCAACAGTGTTATTACAATTTGAATTATCGCTATTGTTGGACTACTTTTGCAGATAACAATTTAAAGGTATTTATAATTATAATGGACTTACAGCGGTTGTCCTCGCGCCACAACAAAAACACATTCAACTGATGATACTTTCAATTGATATTTCTTGATTATCATTATTAAGGTCATTTTTGTGGACCAAAAATGCTTTTCATTTGACTCTTTTTTGTTGGCTAAATTGCAATTTTTGGATATTTTTAAATTCAACTTTTGTCAGTGAATTTGCAACAATCAAACAAATCACTAGACTGGTTTAAAGTTGAAGGCGAGAATCATTTTCTGATCATTTCATTATTGAATCATCATTGAGAAATTAACAGAATCAAGAAACTATTAAAAGATTTGTAAAGATGATAAAATAATAAATTAAATTTCTATCTAATTTGTGTCATTATAAAAGATAGTTGAATGTAAACATGTTTTAACTTCAATTCAACGTTTCCAATCAATTTGCAATTCAAGTGAAAAAAAGGTAAAATTACTGAAAACATGAATGGGATTCAAGTCGAGAATTATCAATTTGTCTTTTACTTTTGATGGTTTCATTTGACTTTACTGAGAAACTTTGGTAACCTGAATTAGGTGTGGTTTTGCCATGAAATTTTTTGATATTCAGAGTAAATAATAATCATGAATACTCGCCAAGAGAGCTAGTTTTAGCAGATCAAACTTGTTCCCTTATCTAAATGTATTTTTCAACGTAAACTGATAACGTTCAGCGTTCAACTTATTCACAATTTATCTGGCTTTATTACTAGGGTCAACAAAAACGATCAACAATTTTGACCTTTACTTGAATGGTTGTTGTTTTTGTTGAATGAAAAGGAGACTAAACAATCACACAAATAACACAAACAAGAGTCATTGATTGAAAGACCAATTACAAGTTCAATAAAAAAACACAACTTGAAACGTTATCTTAGCAATGGGAACAATGATATCGTCATAAATTGGACAGAAACAAAAACAAAGTCCTAAACAGTTTACAGCTAATTTCTTGACCATACGACCAACAGCACACTGCGTTTTTCCTCTTCTCGTTATCTCTTTTTACTCTTCCGTTCGCCAAATCGTCTGGACAAATGGCAAAGGCAAGGGAACATAAAAAAGTCACATAACAAGAGACAGCATGAGATGGTCACTAAAGGCTCAACATGCATTAAAAATTAAAAGATGAACCTTTCGGGTCAACACTTAAAATGCAATTAAATTGAATGTAAAAGCCAATGTCAAATGTCAAAACAATAAGACGTTAACATTGTTTAGAACAGTAAATAAGATTTATTTTTTTCTTCATCTTCGAGTTGTTTCTACTTAAATCAACAGCAAGGCGAAGTAAAAAAAGTAAACTTTCAAGTTTGAAGGAAAAGTTGAAACGCTTTTTTTGGTTGGTTTTGAATGTGTATAAAAAAAGATGAAGAAACACACAAAAAGGTTTACATCTTGAGCTGTTTCAATTTCCTTGTTTATTAACTTGTTGATTTGTTAATCATTTGTGTTGATTGTTGAAAGAGCAACAATGAACACCAATCAGGGTTAACAAATTGATTCAACAAATGGCGATACATGGACAGTTGAAAGGCCATGATGGTGAAGAAAATGGTTAAACCAATTATCGAAAGTTGATTGATCATTCAATTGAACTTGTAATGAGCGTTAATAAACGGTAATCACTTTCAACCATTTACTTGCCATTTCAATAATTTTAATCAACTCTAACCGTCTATTTATCTTTTCATCAAGTTTACTCTCTTTTTTTCATGATAATTGCAAGTTAATTTTACCTTAAGCTTAACCACAAATAATGAAACCACAAAACAAGCAGACAATAGTAAACACTGAACAGCCAAATTAATGAACAAACAATGATTACATTCAACAATTTAAATGTTCAATTTTAAATGAAAATTGCATGAGCGTGAAACAGGGAGAAACAAGTGAAGACGAAAGGCGATTAATGTTGGTTCAAAGAGTAAATTTAGACCAATTTTACCAACCTTTTCAAGCTCTTTCAATGCAACGACGAAGCGCATTAACAAATAATGCAATCATTAACTGTAACTCATGTAATTGTTGTTCACTAAATTGTGAAAAGTACAATTCCTTTTGTCCAATTACCTTGACTCTTTACCACTTTAATTAATCAACAATTTAATTCTTTCATCTACCTCGTTAGTGTATCTGTAAGGAATGGACAGTTAATCATTTCCCCTCTAAATCAGATCAATGATCAATGAATATGCAAAGCTCTCAATTAGTTTAATCTAACTGATCTCAAAAACTCATCCTCAAAATAGTTGCGTATAAACTCTTCCGTTTCCTCTAGCTTCAGTACTCAACATTCCTTTGGCCACCATAGTTGCACTCAATCCTGTGCCTTCTGTGCCATTTCTTTTTTCGTAAAAGATATATTCCTTTACTCAAACCTTTATTCCAAGGGATGAATGGTAAAGTTTGACAATAAATTGGACTTGATTTAGTGGGTGCGTCAATCCTTTTCCAGGGCTTCAATACCAGGTTTTTTCAATTCCTGGCAATAGGCCAATGAAATGTCAAATTTTGCTGCTGATTATCGTAGATAGCCGTCAAGTCCTTCTGCTAGATGTTAAAACGATTCAACCTCCGTCGCGTCATCTTCGTCGGTTTACGGTCACAATTATTGTAGTTGTTCACATTTTCTTGATCTCTGAACTTTTTACCAACTCTATAGACCGAACTCGTCTTGATATCACTATGTTGCAATTTGTCTAGACATTCAGATAAACTTAATCCTGGATGGTCAGTGACAAGAAGCTATTAATATACGAAGATCACTTGTACCTAAGAACCATATTGGAAAAATATAGCGCTAAAACTAAATAATTAGTCCTAGTGTAAGTTAAAATGCTCGCTTTATTACGCTCCGATAATTATGGTAGTTGAAATATAATATAATTTATTATAAGTTATCTACCTTGATTTTTGAAATTACCTGAGATACGAATGAAAAAGATAGGAAAAGACAGGCAACAAGAAACCAGATGGACATTTAACATGAAGATAATGATGAAAAGATTAAAGGTTTAAAGTTACTGTTGTTTAAACAGGTAAAGATCTTTGGCTAAATTCATTTGATTTCATTTAATTTTAAAATTGATTTTTACTGATCAAATTTTATCTTTTCAGTGAAAAAAAATATTGTAAGTGTTGAGTGAGGCCCACCCTAAGGCGATGTAATCCAATTAGGATGGAGTACAGTTTTGCACTTTTGTAAAGTACACCAATGAAGATGATGAAGAAGAAGATGAAATGACGACAAAATCTTCATCTGCGCTTTTTTGAGCAACTTTTTTCTTTTTTTCTTCAACTTTTCCCATTTTTATTAACTCTTAATTAACCTATCCCTTGACTCAATCAATTAGTGATGATTGTCAATGTTGATAGCAGATGATGATAGTTGAAACTTTGCGGGATAAGGCTTATTCATGTTTACATTGGCTAATAAACAAAGTGATCTTTTCATCACATTTTCATCGCTTCCATCAATTTCATCTTTTCAATCAACAATTTTTATCTTTTCAATCATCATTATCTTTCTTTTGATTGCAATTGAATCCACTTTGTAATATAAATCATGAAAAGAGTAACAGTTTCCCTGATGTTTAGACTTTTGTTGAATATGAAATTTGAGCAACGAATGAAACTGTGTTTGATTGTCACTTTGATAATCAAATTGACAATTTTCACTTTGAACCAGCAACCAGTCAAAGAGTAAACAATTTATCTCACCTTTTTATCATCATTGGTTATATTATACTTTCAATCCTGGTTCTGATGATGACTTTTGGAAATGATTTACTTTGATTGGTTGAAATGAATCTGAAAAATAAAAGCAATTGAATGTTAATGATTCACTTTATCATGATAACAAATTGATTCAATTTTTACTCTAACATCTTATCTTTCACTTTAACTTTTTGACTTTACTTGTAAAATAATATTCAATATTATATTACATTGTGATTCAGTTTCAAGGTTAAAATTACCATCAATTATTTATAAACTAATTGAATATCGAGAGCAAATTAGATTGATATTTAGAGCAAAAATAGCAAATCAATTGGTGATATCAATTGCATTGAGATTGAATGCGAAAATTGAATCAACAGTTTTGTCCAATAAACACTATTTTGTAGTCAATTTTAACGGTTATGTGCTAATCCTACACATCCGTACAAGACAATTAAATTATTAATCTGAAATTTGATCAGCAATCCTGATTTGAAGCATAATCTGCTTAAATAAGTTAATTTGTTCAAATTTGTCCTCTCCTGTTAACAATATATTAACTTGGCTTTATTTCACCAACTTTCAAATGTTACCAGGTTGTCTTATCAGTTAATGTCCAGGTAAGGAAAAGGCAAAGCAAATGTTGACGAGGATGATGATGATGATGTAGAAACATCTTCAACTGATGGAACGTGGTTAGTTTTGATAATTGTCCAAACTGCAAAGAAGATGGAAAAACTATTAAAAAATGTAAGATTAACTTGGAAGATGGAGAAAAAAAGAAGTTTTACAAATCTTGAAAACATATTTTTTCTAACAAACTTACTTTTAATCTTAATTATGATCAAGCAAATTCAAGAAAATGTTTTTAAAACTTGGCTTTTTTTATGATTCGCGTTTCTTCAATACTGATACTTTGAGGTAATCTGTTTTACATCTTGCAACCCTCATTACCACCATTGATTACAGAATTTCTGAAAGTAAAAGACAGAGAAAGAGAGAAAAGGTTAGCCAAAGAGAAGTAAATATCAACTCAATGTGTGTTAATGAGTCTAATCTTGAAGGTATAAAAAAAAGTAAACTGATAGTGAAAATAAGGTAGAAAAAGATGAAGATGAAGATGATCTAATGAGGAGATGAGTAGAAAGAAGAGAAAGAAAAGAAGGAGAAAAAACTGAGCAAAAATGAGTAAAAAAACTAGAAGTTAAAAGCATTTAGACAACAAAATATCAAAACGACTTTTTGCCTCAGAGCAATTATTTTAAACAGCAATTAATCACTAACATTTGGGATAAAATAATCATCACCTTGGTGCGTTGAAGAGAGAAAGAGAGAGGATGAGATGAAGAGATGAAGAGAAATAGATAGAATCAGAGTTAAATGGATATTATCTTAAATTCACATTTCTTGTTTTTCTTTCCTCAGCGACCAAACCCTTTTCAATGGACATGGTGAAACAAGAGTGTTAAACAGTGTCTTCAATTGTACAACATTTTTTCCCTCCTCTCTTTGAGTCAACTCTGAAAGTGATTAATGAATTGATAACACAGCAAAACCCAAACCGATTAGCTTTTTAAATGTTGAGGTTGGTTCCAATTCATGTTTCAACCTTGATCATCAGTGAAATTGTCTTTGATTTCCTTTTTCCCATGACAACGTTTTCTTTTATTCTTGGCTGTGAAATCTGTCCTTCATGAGAACTAGAAGTAGAAGAGAGAAAAAAATGAACTTCAATTAGTTAATATTGATAATAATTGGTTCATGTGTCAATCAATTTATAAGTGATGGAAGATAAAAATACCGTTATTAATCAAATTGTTGACTTGCGATACTCACTAATTTGGTTTCTTGTTAAAACAGTGTAAGTCTTTGGTTAAAATGTGTACTCAAAGGAATAGTTGATTCTCATTTAGAGTACGATGTATATCTGCTAATATTGATTGGAATAATAAATTAAAATCAAGTTAAATGGGCGACATCATTAGTGGTCAATTCTTAATTATCACCATTTACCATCTAAACGATTCTATTTCAGCAGCAATAACAAAAATTGCAATTTGAAACAATTTGAAATGATCATCCATCAGTCTTTGGTGACATCTTCTCTTCACTTCTTTTCTATCGATATATTTTTAGAATTACTTTCGATTGGTCGTCATTTCTCTTTCCTTGGTTAGTAACTTTGTCTTTCTCTTTCTCAGTCTCTTTTCTGTGTCATCTTTTTGGCCCTCCATTTTGACTCGTTTATCTTTTACCAAATTTTTGTTTGCCTTCTTGATCGTCATCATGGGTCTCCTTCCTCCTCCTCGCCATCATTAAGTGTTATCTTTTTCACTGTCTCTTTGACCAGAAAATAAAACCAAAAGCCATAGCACGAAATAAATAGCACTGGTTCTGTAACAAGAGAAAAAGAAAGAGAGAAAAATTAGTAGAGTAAAAGTGAGTAAAACTTAGAGTGAAATTTAAATTTTCTCGCAAATTAGTTGGCATTTTACCTATCGTTATCAGCATATCACAAGAGAGAAGAGTCATGAGAGACAGAGAGGAGAAGATAGAGAAGAAGCAGGTATGACGTTTGAAAATATTAGCTGAATAATGTAGAGAGTTGTCAATCATTTGCCCTGGAGGAGAGATTGAGTCAACATTCTGAGAACCATGGTGGACGAGCCCTTGGATTTTGGAGATGAAAAAAAATAAGGAGAGAAAGAAGGTTAGCCACATTCACACGAGTTTTTTGCTACTTTCCACCTGATGATATGTATTCTCTTCTCTGTTTCTCATATGTACATAGCTTACCTTAGCTCTAATCCATGTATAGCTTTCAACAGTCAATATTAACGGAACGTCACTCATTCACTCAAAACAACAAATCTCAGGTCGACAACAATCAACCACTATCTCCGCAAGACCAGGTAATTTATTGGCCAAATTAACCAACAGTTTGACGTAATCCACCTTTGCCATGCATTGAAAGTGAGAGAGGTCCTTCCTTGTCCAATGATACAGCAATTCTTGACTGTAAACAAAATGAGAAGAAAAGTATCAAAAGTCAAGAATTGTTAAGAACATTTTCAAGCTCATTTTTCTTTGCTTAATTTTGCTCATCTTTACTTACTATTTCCTCTTTTTTTAGTTGTAGTTGTATGTTGTTATTTAAAACTTCATCACAGCATGAAATGATGGTTAAATTAGCTGCAAAAAAACGCTTTCATTAACATATACACAAGGAACCCTGCTAAGATCCACACCAAAATCTACATCACTTTGCTCAGCTAAGGATCTTTTTTTGCCTTTTTTGCCTTCAATTTGGATCATCAGCACAACACATTCTCGTTTTTTTGTTTTCACCATGATTCTTCTCGCCTACGATAAAAATCTTAGCTTCTTTTCCTGTTGAGACCATCGTTATTTTCCATCTCTTTATGACCTTCCTGTTGTTATACCTTGCTGACTTTGTTTCCTCACTTGCCCACTTTCATTTGTAATTGTTAGTCTCACTGACCATCAGTAAAGTGACTTTCAATTTTTGACTGGCAATTCCTTTGACGATATACAGACCAACTGTCAACTTGGAAACCAAATGAGCAACCGAAACTAAAGCAATTAAATTTACGAGTCAAATAATAAAAACAAGATAAGATTAAATCAGTCAGCTGGCCAAGTTCACAGGAAAAATTAAATGAAGAGTTGAGATTGAAAAGATAAGAATACAAATTACGTAACACAGTTAATTATACACAAACCAACTATAGTCAACTAAGACACGAAATGCAGAGCGATGAAAAGCTAAAATAGTTAATTGAATAAAACAAAAGATTAAATTAACACATGTAAATTTAATTTTGATAAAAATCTATGAATAAAGTTACTCTATTAAAAAATTGAACGATTCGGTTAAATAATTATTTGTGCAACTGTGATCGCCATCTAGCAGACAATGGTTAAACTTTCTTGCTTTAAATGTGCATCAAAAGATGGCAGCTCAATAACCAAAGTTAAACAAATCGCATCAAGTGATTGAAGTATTAAGTTGATCATAAATTAATCAGCTATAAATCTTGATCAAACGTTTTAATTAAAACCTGCTTCGGATCAATTTCCAATCAACATAAAATTAGCTGCTGGAAATAACCAGGGGTATCAAAGTGTCTCAATGAAGGTAAGTCTGAAACTGACTCAATGTAACCTAATGGTCAAAGGTTTAACCCATTTAATACAACTAACTTTAACAAATATAAAGGCTAGTTAATCTAAATGCATTCATTTCAATCAATGGATTTAATTTTGATAAATAAATGGAGGAAAATAAGGATTGTTATTCTAATAATGAAATGAGCATACAAAGGGGATAAAGAATGGTATGGATTACAAACAGTAACGCGACAAGAAAAAGGTTGATTAAACGTGAAATGTTAGTTAACAAATGTAGAAGAATGTTACAATATTTTAACCTTTCTCTCTTTTCACACCTTTATCTAAGGTTAATATCTTCCTTTTCAACTTTCTTGTGTGCCAGTTAAATATTATTCATGTTACAATCAATTGACAAATATTCTGACACTTTAACTTTGCCTTTAACAATGATACAAAGAGTGAGAGAGAGACACACACACAAATACACATTTATAAACATAATCAGATCAGCTTTTTATCACTGTTACTACACACAATGTAAATAAGGTAAATGATAAACTGAAAAGATGTATGTGAATGTGTATAAGGTAAATATAATAAGATTTGATGGTTATAATACAGATGAAGATAGAGATTGAAGTGAAATTCAATAGGCCACCATGAATGTTATCAACAGCTTAAATCAATTCAACTTTCAAGCAAGGTCAAAAAGGTGATCGTGGAGGTTCTACTCTGCGGGTGATCACAAACTCTATCCACTGTCCAAGGGAACCACGACCAGCCAGGAGTACAAAAAAAAGAGCAACGAGCCTTTGACTTGTTTACTTTAACCATTGTCTTTTGTCATAATGTAATAAAAATATCAATTGGCGATTCTTTTCTCAGTTTCCCTCTTTTTTTTCACTTCAAGATTATTTCCAGAAACCAAGCGAAAATCCATGGATCAAAAATTGTTTGTAAGACGATCTAAACATTAGAAGAAAAAGAAAGAATAAATCTCAAAGAAAAGGTTTCTTAACATATTTATAACTTATTATCATAACAAGTAGATCATTTTTTCACATTTCCTTTGTACTTACCTATTCATTCACATATCGCTTTCAGTGCTCTTTGATACTCTTTCTTTTCCTTTCTCTTTCTCTCTCCCTTTTTTCACTTTCTCAATTCTCCTCCCATGCTATTATCCTGAAGCGAAAATCCATGGATCAAAAAATGTTTGTAAGACGATCTAAACATTAGAAGAAAAAGAAAGAATAAATCTCAAAGAAAAGGTTTCTTAACATATTTATAACTTATTATCATAACAATTAGATCATTTTTTCACATTTCCTTTGTACTTACCTATTCATTCACATATCGCTTTCAGTGCTCTTTGATACTCTTTCTTTTCCTTTCTCTTTCTCTCTCCCTTTTTTCACTTTCTCAATTCTCCTCCCATGCTATTATCCTGAATCACTTGAAGGTGACAAAAACGATATAATAATGTTTATAAATATATAAACATCCGGTGCTTAGAAAATTGTAAATCACCTTAACTAATAATCCATTCAAACTGGAATACATTGTAGGTAAAAACTATTCACAACAAATACATTGGCTATTTCAAAGGCAAACCATTTCTTGGAAAGTGTGATTGAGGTTAAAATAGACTCGAATGCTATTCGCACCGCAACTGATTGACAGCTGATTAATTAATTAACAAAACTTGTGTTTTTATTATAATGGTTAATAAATGGTCAACTATTTATTCTAATATCTTTGAAAACTGAATTTATTGGATTTCAATTGTTTGAAACTGTTCAGTCAGCCTTTTTGAATAATCAAGTGAAATGTCAACATCTAATGTAAAAATGGATTTTTAATGTTATAAAGACAAGATCGAACTCTAATTATCTGTTTGTAATATGAATATACTGTATAAGACTGATACAAAAACCTATGAACTGGTTAAAGTATTAATTTGTCTTATGAATTAACGAATAGTAATAACTAGATGTTCATAGATCATTTACATGGTATATCTACATGGTAACATGAAAAGATGATGAGATGAAACTAGAATCTGTAAAAGTATTGTACAAAAATAGGAATTTGCTTGACAAACGATAATTGTAGTCTTGATCCTGAGTCTATCAATTTAGATTCTAAATTAAAGAGTTAAAAGACCCAGTCCCAATTAAGTCTTGGACAATTGAATTTAACAGTGTTACGTGTGTATCAATTAGTGAACAATGAATGGATTGTGGCAGTAAAAAATTATCTACGCTGAGCTGATTTACGGTTTGTTTGGTGAAACGTAATCTTTAACTAAAGGTAGCTTCATTGGTGGTTAATTAAACCAACTGACGACTAGGCGTGGTGCAAGTAATAGTTCACGCTGAGTAAAGACCTACCTGGAGTAACATAGCAATGAGCGATGGCCTTTCGCACGTTTAATGTTTAAATGTTAATAGCACAAAGTATCTTTAAAATAAGTCTTGCTCTGAGTTTATCTTATTATTAACTAGAGGCTGCTGCGATCATAACTGATCGCAATTTCTGACCACTGAGTACGATAAATTCAATCCACATCTACACTTGAAAACTCAGATTCTTAACCCAAATCAACCGTGAAACCATGAGAAAAACTTGAAAATAAAATAAAATCTGGTTCGACAAAAAATGAGATGAAAGTTTGACTTTAAAAATGCAAAAAAATTAAAAACCAATCTTTGGTAGAGAGACAAGATTGAAAATAGCCAGCCCGCTCGGTAAATAGTAAGAATAAGGTATTTTACAGTAATTTTATTTCTTTATTATTAATAAATGGTTTCAGTAATTTCCTACTTTTTTTGGTATTTATTTCCGTGTACAATAACTTTTAAACCTGTGTTCAGTCAATTGACTCTAACAGTACATCAACATATTAGTTGAAAATGCGTTAAATGTCTTAAAAATTAGTCTCATAATTTACTCATTACACACATTATCATCATACATATATGTAAGTACGTTTAACATACACATTTATTCATTCTAAACATGAGAAAAAGGGAAAGATATATTTATCTAAATGCATAATACACTTGACGGGGAATCTTGTAATGGAATCTATATCTTAACATTTTCCTTCTCTTGCCTCTTGTTACCTCTTCTGATAGCCTCATGCACTCTCTTTGAGAACTTATTCAACTACAATTCTTGTTATCTTCTATTTCTCTCTTTACAGATTCTCTTTCTTTTACCATCACCATAACCATCATCATGGTCCAAAGGCAGGGGAAGATGAAGAAGCAAAAATTTGGAAGCAAAGTAAACTGAAAAAAAGACTTACGGGAAAAATTATTGGTTCCTCTGTATCCCAAAAGTAGCAGAGACTCTAATGTACTTTTCTTGTTTCCCTCTCATCTCGGACTCTCTTTTGCTCTCTACAATCTTCAATCTCTCTCTCTTTCTTTCCTCATCTTTCACTCTTTCTTTCTCTCTGTGTTTCAGGTTATTCCATTTTTGAAGACAGGCAAAAAAGGAACCAAAGATTTATAGGCTACAACCTATACACATCATCAAGTTGAAAATGATTGTTGAATGTTTCAATTCACATTGACCTGACAATGATAAGTATAGGTAGGTAACAATGTTATGCCTTTTCTTTAGCTTCATCTAATATTGCCTTTCCTTCTCTCTTTATCTTCTCAAGCCTATTAACAAAAGACAAGTAGCATCACTATCATCATCAATGACAAGCCAGGAGAAGGAGAAAAACTCAAAAAAATCGCAATGTTTGACAAGGAACATCAACAATTCTAAAGTTGCCGTGTTAACTAGTTATTCAGCCATTTCCACGATACCAAAAGATAAAAGGCTCAAGCAATAAACACGAATCAGCTGAATCATGTCTTTAGGAATTTTTGAATCATGTCTCTCTGTTGGTTACTTGGTTTTTCATGTTTTATTAGCATTGTTTAATGGATTGAAAGTTTTCCGTGTAATACATTTCAAAATATATATATCAAGGTACACAGATAAAAGGCTTTGGAAATGAAAAGGCAGATAGTTGTTCAATACAAAATGGGAAGATTGACAATGAAAAAGTTGAAAGTTGTATTATCCTGAAAAGACATGAAGAGACAAAATGAAACGTTGTTTGGTTACAAACTATCCATGTTGACACAATTTTATCCTGATTTTTACATGTTTTTAAACAATTTCCACGTAAACAAACCTATCGACTTGTTTACAGATGAAATGTTGAACTAAACCAGGGGAAAGAAGCCAAAAAATTTAGTTCCAAGGAGAAATCGTCCAAAAAAAACATGAACAACATCGATACGCTTAAACACATCTACAACAGCAGAAAAAACAACAACGAAACATTTGTTCACCATGTTTACTTAAAGACAACATAATTTTATCTGTAACGTCAAAGGAATCAAAGTAATTTAACAAGAAATAAAATTTGTTGCCCCATTTTAATGGACCTGATTTTTGGAGCCATTAAACCCATGGAATTGGATTCATTGTTTCACCATGACAATTAATTTACTACAAGTCGTATGACTTTCCTACATTGGTAATAAAATTCAAGAGCAATACATTAAATCACAATCAGCAATGTTGGAGACTGTTTCAACCGCAAAATACATTTCAATGCAACTTTCACTTTTCTTTCTACTTTATTGTCAACTTTAATTGAGAAATATATTTCAACCTTTTCATTCAATTTACAGTCATTCAGTGAATGAGTAAAATTTAGCACCAAAAAAGAGGAAGCAAAACCATTGAATTCATGTAGATACAAGTTAATCCGAAAACTGTTTTCTCTATTATCATAATGAGCTTGTTCAAAATGCTACTTTTATCATCAAATTGAGTCGGAGAACCACAATTACTCTTAGTTTCATTACAAGAGTTTTATTAATATACACAAATCCAATTTTACTTGCAATATTTAATGTCGTTATTTGTGCCTTTGGTGAGGAAAGTCCAAAAATGAGTAAATTTGTTGACTTGAGCCTGTAAAGTTGTTATTATATCATTTTGATCAACAATCAGTTTAACAAGCAATTCTGGTAGCAACAACAACCATTGATTAAATGATTCTCATCAGCTTAGTGGCAATTTTGACAAGAATCATGCCAATATTAGTATCAAAATACTTTTTATTTTTCATCTTTTTTTCCTCAGCCAAAAAGATGCTGAGTTTTTGTTTACAAACCATGTTAATGGTTTCAGGTTTAATACAAGTCTAACTTTGCCTATTATTTTACTTTCTCCCTGTAATAGGCTTTTTACCACATGCTAGTTATACACATTTATACTCTGTTTCAACTTAATTCTGTCTCTTAAATCTTTCTCAATGTATTCATTCATCTATTACATGTATTACTTACCCATTTCTTTACTCCTTTACTAAGAAAATGAAAGCAACTTAACCATTTAATTTGTAAAAATGTTACTTTTTACACAGTTTGTTGTTCATGACATTTTATATTCACTTGATAAAAACCTTAAATGAGCTTTATCACCCATTTAGTATAAACATATTCACCAAAATTACATTAGCTTGATTGATAATTTTCATGAAAGCATAACGAATATGTTCAAATAATCATAAACATGAAAAAGAGACGAACACTAAATAAAGTCAAAATGAGACTAAATTTCATCTTGTTCTAACCCTTTTTACCTTGTAAGTCAAACTAATTGAGAAATTGTTGATTAATTACAAGACTACAAATTAGAAGAAGCCAGTGATGAGAGTAAATTGACAAAATGCATCAAGTAATTATGAATGTTAAGATAAACTAAAATGCGGCTAAAAATGATAAGCCCAATGTTTGATAACATTTGATGACCAGAAGCTCAAATGGCTCTGGGTAATAAACTTGACCAGACAAAAATGAACCCTTTTCTCAGCCATTAGCTTGATCTTTGAGATCAATCATGAGATACCTAAAGTTAGACTTGAATACACGCCTGATTGTCAACATTGGCCATTATAATGAGGTAGATTCACCTCAAGAATCTTCACTGATTTTTAACTTCACTTTTTTAGCCTCCATTTGAAATCATATTAGTTGTCTTTTGCTAATTATCTTATCATAAAGTTAACATCGACATAACTATGGACATGTTTGAAGCCAAAACGAGCAATGTTTCCTTTTGAAAGTGTATAACAATTGAACGCCAATGGACTGGATTTACAATATGTTTAACTAGACAGGTAGATTAAAAGGAAGAAAAGATTATAATCAGATCAAATGATTGACATGAGACATTACAGGGAAAGGCAAAGGGAGAATTGAAAAAAAAGTCTGTTACCAATAAACCATTGTAGACATTATATCAAGACAAATGCGAGAATAGAATGATAAATATCGCCGCTAATAATCAGTAGAATCGATCAAACCAGGGTATTTTCAATTATTGTTACATTATATTATAATGATGAAGGTGGAAATGGTTAACAATTGAAAAGATGAAGCAACAATATGCTTATCAAAAATGGTTAAATCGTATGTGATAAGCATAAAAACAAAACTGTTTGTTGTTTGGTTGAAGCATACAAAATTGAATGGACAAATAGTAACCTCAACCTTGTGGGTGAAAGGATTGTGATTGACATACAGATGAAGAGCCATTGAAATCCTTTAATACACTTTTTGATACACACATTAACAAAGATAAATATAATATAAAATTATTAACACTATCAATATAATAGCAATAGTTGGAGTAAAGCTAAAAAAATGAAGCAAAATAAAAGATATGTGAAGCTAAAAGCATATTTAGCATAAAATCATTTTAACCCATCAAGAGATGGAGCCAATGCAAAGCGTTTTTTACCAACAAGAACGACTTTACCTCAAGTGTGATTAAATGAACAAAAATGTGATTATAATTAAAATGTGAATAAGATTATAAGTTAAGCTGTGCATGAGATGGTTAAACGGTCCGTCTAATCTGACAAATGTAAAGTAAAGGTACCAAAAGCCTATTAAATAACAATGAAAGTCTTTTGCGCTTCTTATCATTACCATCAACACGCTATAGACAGTGTTTACTGTCAAGGGTCTCACTTGAAAATGGTATCATCTAAAAGTGTATCCTAACTGATTGGCCTGATTTAACTGCTCTTTTTTTATCAACATTTATATCAATATCAACTTTAATCTTCTGGAAGGTGCTTCTCGTAATGTTTATTAGTATCACTATTATAATGTGATATTAAACCAAGACAAGAACGACAACAACAAAGCAAGATTATTACTGTATCCATATTGGAGGAAGGAAAAGCTTGCAATTTGAGATATTTATCTGGAGGAGTGACAATTCAATGTAAAGATACTAACGGGAATTGAAAGGGCCAAAAAGCAACTAAAAGGACACGGATAAGGATAAGGACAGGAGAAACAAGATTTCAATGTCAGATTATGCTCTTTCCATTATTTGGCATATTACTAAATGTTACTCATTTTATTGTTATTAAATGATTGCCATTGTAAATAGCATGGATACACAGATGAAGAGTCGGAAATTATTTGACATCCATTTGATATGTAAAAGCAGGAGAACTCAAACGGAGAGCAACAAAAAAAGAGGATAAGGCCAATTTTTAAACATTTAACCAGCCAGTTGATCATTATTTACAATTTGATAATTGATTCAAAATTGTATTGTAATCCCTTCAAGATTACAAAATCAGACAACATTGAAAAAAGCAGTGAAACAAGAGGATCCAGGAAATATCCATTTTGATGAAAGTCTTGCATTCAAATTTGCCGTTCAACATTGCAGGACTTTTGGTTTTACCTTACAAATAACTAAGATTGTTGGACTACAAATTCAAAGTTAATTGATAAAGATGGATTCCAGTTGTAATACAGGATTAACCAGTTGGATAGCAAGGTGTTAAGAGGAAACAATGGAAACGATGTAAAGAGAGAGAGGAAAGGCTTATAATTTTGGTGACTTTCTTGTTTGACAATGTATAAATTGATGGTTAATGCAAACATTTGGTGATTTTGATAAAGACTAGCATTCAATTTTGCTATCAAGAGTTAATATAAATGGTAACATTGGGATTGTGAAAGATTGAGATATCACAACATGTCAGTTAACTTAGCAAAGTGAAAATATGAGACAGAAAAATGACAGTTACAGTAAAGGGAATATCAGATTCCAGAATAATATCATTTTCCATCATTTTCTTCTCCAACATCATCATCATCATCATGATGTTGATCATCTTTTGACTTCATCTTCATCGTCCTTTTCATGTTTCAAAATGAAAATAACCAAAGGATTCCCTGTGGATTTGTCACTCCCAATGCTCAATTAGGAAAGACATTGATAACTTTGATTATTTTTAATACAATAACAAGCAAAGGTATAATAATATGATGGATGAGCTTGCTCTTTAATAATGCAACCAATAATCAGCCTAACATCATCATTATTAACCCAAAGTATCATTTCTATTGAAACATGATTTGAATGATCAGATGTTTGTTAAATAATGATATTTAAAAAAGCTAATATTGTACAAGCAAATATTGCTTATAAAGATCAAATTAACTCGACAATCATCATTGAAATCAATTTCTTGTCACAATTTCATTTACACTGAATCTCATCTACAACATTGAAGCAACTTTACAATTTACTCATCTAATTGTTCAGTTAACTGTCCATGTTACATTTGAAAAGGATGAAAATTGTTACTCTTTACCAGAATTTGAATCTTTAATTGTCAGTGTAACCACAAAGCTTTAACCATTTAGCTAAAAATGAGCTAAAGTAATCATCATTAATCATCATTAAAAGGTTGAATTTTCTCATCAAAATAATTAGCCAAACAATTAATCGAGACACAAATCATTTTGACATTAATTTCCAAGCTAATTAATTGATTGTTTTTGCCTTATTAATTGACTAATCTTTATATTATGACAAGTCTCGCGTTATTGATAATTTATGTTTCACTTTTTGTTTCACTTTTACATTTCCCATTGAATTTATTGTGATTATTATCAAAGCTTTTAGCTTTTGTCATTCAAAAACAACTCAACCAATAACTTGGAATGAATATTTTATCATGAAAATGAAAATTACACCAGTTTTTTATTTGAATGGTTAATTTATTACAAGGAAAAAAAAGTGTAAATCATTTGAAATAATATGAAAAGGTAAGTTTGGGAAAAGACATTCAATTTACATTTTAAACTGATTTCAAGTTGTTCAGCTTTTTAGGCCTTAAGTTACAGTTGCTTTACAAGATTGTTAACATTTAGTTTCACACATTTTTGCCAATCTAATCCAAGTTAATCTTGTTAAATCCAGGTTTGGATTAAAGTGCCTTTTGGATTGTTTAATGAATAATAATGAAGGCAAGAGGAAGGTAAGAAAAGATTGGCAAATATTGTTAAGTGTCAATCCATTTGGATCAAGAATTGTGTGAAAGATTGAAATGATGAAAGTTGACCTGATACTCAAGGTGAGGTCAAGAAAGATGCAGAAGAGGTTAAAGGATAAATAGTCCAATATCAATAACAAAGAGTTTCGTTTCTTTTTTTTCTTTTCTTTCATTTTCTTAACTTGTTGTAGCAAAAGTTATTGGGTTTGGTATTGAGTTAATTCAATTTAATCAATGAACAATCAAGACAGTAACACAATGAAAGACAATCCTTTTTTAAAGCAAACCAACAATAGACTCACCGCAAGGGGTCAAATGAAAGCATCTTAACAACCCTTTACAATCAACATCATCATCAACAACATCAACATGAACAAGAAAAGGCTGGCATATTGAAGAATAGAAAATTTCTCTTCTCTTCTCTTCTCTTTTTCATCATTATTGTTATTATTATCGAGTAAAATGTGTGTTAAGAATTGGTTATCCTTTTGTTAAAGGTGTTATAAAGTATGCTACTTAAGCTTAAACCAATAGACAAACAAATATATATTTTTTTTCAACAAAACAAGTGATTGCTGATTGTTTTGATAAATTGTTTAAATACAAATTGAAAATCAATGAATAGGATTAACTATTTGTATAAATGAACAGAAAGAAAGATAAGTATTCCAATGGGTTTGTTCATTCACTCAACTTGGGTGGCTTTAAAATGGGACGATCGCCTTTCTAAAGGGTAAACAAACAAACACGCAAATATACAAAAGGTACAAAGATCGGTTAAAATAAGGATAACAGCTAAAGATGGCCTTATTGTTTAGTTGAGTTTCATCAACTGTGGGGTGATTAATTAAAGTTGTTACAATTACACACTTTGATCGGTCCGTGAAATTGCGACTGCCAACAACGTCTTGGATATTTTGAGCAAAGATTAGTGAGGTTTCACAAAAAATGTGAAATAATGGCTCTAAATAGACTGAAGCGGTAAAATCTTATTCCTTTTTTAGCGAACGATTTTAACTCAATTTGTATCTGTATAAAATCCAAGAAATGGTTATAACTCTGGGAAAGGGAATAATCATATTTAAATAATCCATGGTGGTTGAAAAGTCCCAAAATTGGTTGAAATGAAATGGACTTCGTTCCGATGAAGAAAAGGCAAATTCAGTATATTACTGAAGTATTGTCAGAAACTTGGATAATCTGGTGTGAAGACCTGTAAACATCAAGATACGCATGAATTTATCCCTTTTCAATTAGAGCTCATTTTGAGCTAAAAATCCATCTCATCAGCTCATCAAAGTTTAATAGCAGTAAGGATTGAGAATGATGGATCTATTTTGCTATAGTCAGGTTGACTCAATGAGTTCTCACAGTCAGTTGCTCCAACCAATTCGATGTGGCCATAATCCTAGAATTGAAGTCGAAATTGAAAGCTTCTATCAACAAGAATTTAAAAAAATAAAGACTTCAATTTTGGACATTTCTTAAGATTATCAAAAAAATAAAGATCAGAGTCGATATTAAAATACCATTGCCAGTAAATTGTGATCACAGGTGTAAAAAAGTAAAACACTTGACCAAAATTTGCGTAAATAATTTAGATCCAAACTTTTCAAGATAAGCCATATTCCGACCATAAATTGATCTCTAACCAATAAAATTTCCTCTCGATAAAATCCATCGGATTTCAAAGTCTGGCTAATTCGATCTGGACCTTTGCTTCAAAATTTCAAACAATATTCTTGTTCGTTCATCATCTAACCAAAAGACCGTTTCAATCCAGGTTGACGATAAGTCTTACAATTTAAAAACACAAAAATAGTTGAACATTCAATTGGAAAGGCGAATCACAATTTATGAAAAATATTACAATAAAAAAACCGTTTATTGAAACCCATACTAGATACTGAAGCTAGTGAACTTAGTGAGTGAGTGAGCCGGTTATAGCCTGGCTTTAGTTTTAGCCAATTTTTTCACCACTAAGCCAGCTTTAGTGAGTCAACTAAAAGCTCGCTAAAATGACTGAAATTTGAATTTCGAACTCAAGTTCGAGTGTTTTCAATAGTTGGTTTGACACTAACCAAAAAAGGTCACAGCTCACTCCTAAAAAATTGAAGAAAATTCTTTGCAATCATGACAATTCTGAATTTGTTTGGTATGATTGGTTGAACTATGATTGGTAATATCAATTTCTAGTAATAAAATTTTGTCATAAAGTCAAAACAATACACCTTTTTGCCTTTAGTCAGTCAGCTAGCTAAACATAAATTTCCAACTAAGACTAAGCCAATTAGTCGACTATTAGCTTAGTGAGTGAAAAATATCATCAAGTTAGTGAGCCGAGAGACTTTCGGCTCACTTCGGTATCTAACCCATACGATTGACAGCTAGGGAAAGAGCAATGTGTTATAACCATTGGTAACCATTAAGGCGCGTTATTTGACAACCAACGTATTGTTCAATTACAATGTAACAACAATTTAAAAGCAGTAGATTATTTTAATACTGTTAATAATATTGTAAACAATTGTCGATTCACATTTTTACTTGAATGATAAAAACTGGATAAACCTGATTATTGGCATGAAACAGTACACATTGACGTGTGTGCCTTTTGGTTGAGGGTTAAATGCATAATGCCAATGACACCTAATTGATTGTCAAATGATGATGATGACCATTTGCAGTCGTCAATAAATAATCATCAGCGTTCATTGTTCAACGTCTCAAACTGTGTCTGAAACCAAAAAAAAAATAATAACCATTAATGTATTTTTATTATGTCAGTATTAATGTTTTTACCCAATGTTTCCCTTCCTTTTCACCATCATTCCCATTCTCATCATTTTCAGCATTCTTCATGCCTTGTGCATATCTTACCATGAAAAAATAGACGAGGAACCACTCAAAGTGAAAAGTGAAAAACATCTAAACTCTGAACATGATAAATTATAAGATCAAATCTCATTCCCAAGAAGCGCTTTACCATCAACATCATCATAATCAGGGTAATAATCATCATCCAAACATAAACATTGTTTACTGTTTTCCTGTTTTACTGTTTTAGGTTAGACAAGGTTAAATGATAATCGGTTGAATAATGATTGTTGATTATGGATTGTGTTTACCTAGAAACTGCTGACCCAAAAGTGGACCCAAAAGAGGACCTAAAAGAGGAGGTTAAAATGTTGACTGAAAGATTATCATTAAAATGTGCAAATTGAGACAATTTGATTGTCATAAACAAATGTCCAAAGTGTTGGCATTTTTAATGTTATTTTGAGAAAATTAATTTCTCTAGTTTTTTTCTCTGCCTTCTTTAAACATCTATAAAAATGCATTGTTAATTATAATATGATAATAAATTGTTGATGAACGGTGCATAAATAACAGTTTGAAATGTAAATGAAATTGAAGATTGCAAATATTTATACAATAAGGTTGGGCGCCAGGCGAAAAGGATTGAAGATTCAGTTGAAAAGTGTATCTAATTGTTCACTTTACATGGAGTTTTTATTTTACTTTTTTGCTTGCTTTCACTGTAAAAGTGGAGGATGATGAAGATGAGATGACAATTGTATCTGTTGTAACCCTTGTCATTTTATGTTAGAGTTGCAAGAGTTGAATTGATTTGAGGTTGAGGTGACCCAAGATTAGGTAAAAGGCAGTAAAATGAAAGGTTATCATCAAAGTTTATCATCATTATCATCATGTTTTTGCCTCTGTTATTCCTAATTTGCATGATATTGCTTAAGTTAAAATAATCATTTTCCTGTTTCCTTTTTCCTTTTCTGTTTACTATTCTTTCCTTTCCTCTTTTCATCATCAATGTTCAACTCTAGGTGAAACTTGAACATGACATTATTTAATCGCATTCAATATTGGATCATATTTGAATGATTATTTGATCAAATTGTTGGAAATGAAAAAAAAGGCAAAAGATATTCAAAGTTGAACATTTAAACATTGAAACAGAATTGAATAAAAGAAAAGTTTAACCAAAATTAATATCTATTTTCATTCCCAGAACATTTTCTCCATTTTATTGATAAATTTTTATGATAATTCTTGCTTTACGTTTATTGGAATGAAAAATTCTATCTCAGATCATCTTCAGAACTTGGTGAAATATAGATTTTTACCAATCCCTTTTATCGTTTCTTTGCGCAAATATTCACTAGTCTTGAAATGAAAACACGAATTTTTATGTCTCCACGATTTATCGCTCAGAAGTCATACAAAGTTGATCCAAATCAGAACATTCAGAATAGGTTATTGTGGATGAAAAGAGATTAGTCAGTTGGATAAATGCAATCGAAGTTTCTTAGATCAACGAACATTTGCTATTATAGAAGTATCTTGTTTCGATTCTTAATAATAATTATAAATGATTCAAAATTATCTGCCGATTCAATGAACCAAAATGGGTGAAAAGGGTCAACTTTGATGACCATATTTTCATTGATTATGCCAATATCCATTGGCCGGACTAAAATGCTTTAATATTAAATGTTTTGATGGAACCAAAAACTTGCAAATAATTTCTGGCTAGAGTAGTAGTTAAAAGTTCATTGGCACTAAGAGAATCCACTAATTTTTTCATAATGGTGGCTCATCCAGATTGTTTAGATCTGGCGATGGCAAAAGTTAAAATTGTGACCTTAAGACGCTATATCCGTGAATATGAAAAGACTATTAGTGATATACAAAAAGACTTGTCCGAGGCAGAAGAGCTCATCGATAAGAAAACCGTCTTGACAACAAGAGGCAACTATTGAACACAATGAAGATTGATTAGAGGAGGAAGGAGAGAAAAACAATGGCCTGGATTCCTAGTTAGATTATTAAATCAGTTGGTTGGAAAAATATGTTGGAATAACTAAAACAAGAATTCGAAAAAATATCGCTGCCTGCAGAGAAAAAAGCTACCGAAAGTACAAATAATTTCAATCAAAATTTTGAACTTTGATTGGAGAATTTTGATTTTTTTCAAGTTTAATTTTGAAAAAAATGTTTAGATTCATACTTATATTTATCTATCCACAACACCTTTCCTTAAATTAGCTTTGAAAAGCTAATACATTAAAATAGCTGTCGAAAAAAATTTTTATTTCTTATAAAAAACATCATAAACTAGACGGGGCAGATTTTCGACCCACAGGTTGGACAATTTTGTCCAGATCCGGACCTTCAAGTACTAATAACTACTGTAGCTTTCCACTATTTGAATAATTTTGTGGAAAATATTAACAAAATATTCAGCTAAACGAATCCGAATGTTATTGGATTACTTTTGGCTTTGGGAGTTTTCAGGGTTTTCATGCAGATTGATAAACCTTTTTTTGTGGTTCTTTCATTTTCCCTTAAGGATTTACAGATTATGATACTTGAACTGATTAACCTACCTATTGATTGAATCAACGCAAAATGTAAATTTGTAAGCTTTTCCACCATTACAGTTGTAAAAGGAAATTGATTTATCAAAACAAAGATGATCGATTGTTACATCTGTAAGCTTTTAGCATCATTGTTATTCATGTTCAACTTATTATTTTGATAACCTCAATTCAAATGTACAATTGGCACAAATTTCGACTTGTATCAGTGGAAAATGTTGTGGCAAATTGAGTTTGAGTAAGTTTGCAAGTTGATACAAAATTTTAAAATAAAATCATTGTCTGTTCAAATGAACATCTCGATAAAACATTGACTTTCTTGTTAAATTATCTTGAAAAATTCACAGAATAGCAGGGAATGTTTACAGGGAATGATTAGTTTTTTATCCAATAATACTTTGCACCGAGAATCACTCTTTTCAAAAGTTGTTTTATTGAATGAAAAAAACAAGTTTATCGATCAGTTTACATTAGAAGTTTGAATAATTTGCCTTTTTTTCGACTCATCTATTTAGTCCAATCATTTTGTTACACAAAATATCGGACAAGATTCATGGTTACGACAGACAAATGAATTAATGCTCTTCAATGGGAGGAACTCCAGTTTATCTTCCATTTGCTGGTGAAGGTAAAGATGATGATGATGAACACTGTGAACTGATAGGACAAGAAGCTCTATAGATCATAATGAAGTATTATGATGAATGCGCTGTTGGATGGTGACTGAAAAACTCGGTGACAACCCACTTGAGTAAGCCAAGAATGATGGCCAAAGCAAAGGAATTACCGAGTTTATCTTCTTCATCTTAATCTTCTCCAGAAGCTAAAAGCTTGCATCTTGATGATAATGATGAGATAAATTGATGAGCTGAAAAATCTGGGAAAGCAAAACAGAAAGAGAACAAAAAAGCAAAGGAAAAAGATCAATTGGCAATCCATTAGACTGGGAGTGAAAAGAGGAAAAAGAAAGCAAACCTGAAAACTCCAAGACTAGGTGAGTCTCATCTTAATGAGTATTACATGAATACATCAATCTTATTAGAGAAGCTGAAAGAAGCTTGAAACTCATCTAATTATCTTCATTAATTCATGTTTATTAATAAAGAACAAGTTGAAACATTTCGTCTTTTCTAACCCAAAATTGATCCAAATTAGTTGAAAGTCACTTGAAACTGATTTGAAACTTGAAAGGTTATTGTTGAACTAATCAATCATTGAACAATCAACTAATTGAATCAATCAAATGTCAAAGAAGCCAATTGAAAGGTAAAACTTGAAGTGAAAAGTGAAAAATGAGGAAAAAAATCATTTCTCTATGTTAACCCAATTCTCATATAAAATGATTTTTTTGTGATTTTTCACTATAAAATGGGCTTTTATTTTCTCACCATTTAAGGTTGATGTTTCAATGAAAATATTTGAATAGCTCAAGAGTGTCTATTAATTTAACCATTGAAATGAATTGTTAGCCTCTTGACCAAAACAATAATGGAAATATAATAGACGGTTATCGGTTGAGACCATTATTGTGTTTAGAGCAACAATAAAATGTTAACTGTACTTGAAGCAATTCCGATGCTTAGACAGAAACGGAAATGTTTTTCATTCATCTTTTTGCTTTTCTGGTTGCTCGACTCAGCAGTATATTTGAAAGGGCAAAAAGTGGTTCAATTGTCTCATGGAAATGGCTGTTATTGGCTGAGATTTTTGCTTCTTTCATCTTCATCCTTCTTCCAGGAAATCATCCTTTATCTGCTTAAATTGACTAAAGATGAGCACTGATGATGAGGATCAGCCTCGGAAATGAACATTTTCCGTTATTCATTCATTCAGTCAAGTTGATGATGATGAAGACCAAGGCAACATCAACATCAACAACAGCGAAAAAATCATTCAACTTTCAATCAACTTTTCGACTAAATGTTTTTATACTTTTTTTGCTTCTGTTGTTCAGGCTTTCGCCATCCTCATCAAATGAACGAAAATGATTATTCCAATTTTTTTCTTCTCTTCTGTTCTTTTTACTTCTCTCATCTTTAACCATTTCACCGCCTCTTTCAATTGATTATTTTGGCTTGAATTTTTGATTACTTTTCTCATCTTCATTTTCATCATTATCTTCATCCTTTTCTCTCTTCCCTTCCCGCCCATAATTTCCTCACCAATTTCATTCTCAACTTTTCCCTTCCATTCCCTTTAATGTCACTTCAACACTCGACGCGAAGTCAAATTGTGATCGCACAATTTACACTCCATCAGACTTGATTCAATTGATGTTTACCTAAACCTTTTTTTTGGGTTTGCATTTCAATCTTTTTGTTACTCTTCAATTATTTCAATTCCCATTTTAATTTATTATCATATTGAATACAATGACAGTTACGGAAGTCACTTTTGTTTTATTACAAAATTTGTCTCCATTTCATGCCTTATTTTTACAGTGATTTGTTTTATTAAAGAGTTTTGTTTGTTGTTTGTATTATGCTCTTGATGATGACTAGTCATGAGAGGATGAAGATGATGAATTTGAGATTTCTTTACACACAAACACTTTGTATATCAACATGAATATTGTTAAACATGAATCTGTTTTAAATCTCCTTTTTTTGACTTTTTGTTTCTCTAAAATTGCTTTCTGCTCTTTTTTTACCCAGATTATCGTCTAAGTGGAGATTCAGGTTTCTTTGGTTAATCCATTTAAGCTCGCTATTCAAGTGTTTTTTTATCAATGGTTTGAAAGTGTTTTTCTTGTTGTTTCACATTAGGTATTAAGCATCAAGTCAATACTGGGAGTGATGAAATCAAGTGTCTTTCAATCCCTGTTGCCATTATTTGTCAAGAATCTTGAAGCAACTTTTTTTTCTCTCTCTCTCTCACCGAGATTCTTTTGCTATGAATAAAAGTTAGATTGATTGGTTGTTGTAAGGTGTCAGTTTCCGTAAATGAGTCCACATGATTGAAAGGTTGAACCATTTGGATGGGTCAACAGTCTTTTATGGTGTTCAGAGTGACTTTCACTGGATGAATATTCCTTGACTGGGGAAACTTCAGGTGTGTACAGATGTTCATTAGAGGAGGAGGTTAGGGTGGTCAATTGTCCAATCTCCATGGGCTGTGGATCGATACCATTGATGGCCGAACTGGAAACATAGTCTGAGAAAACTTTGCCCAGAAAAGTGTTGCTTCGCTGTTTAAGAAAATTGTCTGTAAAAGAAGTGAAGGAAAGATGATCTAGAGAAGTTGTTGAAGAAGATGATGATGAAGAGGACGATGAAGAAGGTGAAATTGTCGATGATGATGATTTCAATGTGAATGAGGGAGAAGAAGATGAAAGTGCACTCTGATGATGCAGATGATGGTGAGAGTGAGGCTGATGAAGAGGGTTTACTTGTACCGAAGAGGGTTGATGGTGCAAGTTGGTTGAAGGTCCTTCAATGAAGCCAGTGCGTTGAGTCAGTGGAGCCACTGTAAGACGTGTTAAAGGCGTTACTCGATCATTTGTTGGACCGAGATGATTGTAGATGTTGGGTGAGGTTGAGACTGATGGTGAGGCAACGGGTGTTATTGAAGTTGATAAGCAAGATGTGGTTGAGACTGAAGATGATCGAGCGGTTGTTGTTTTTAATGTTGATGCTATTGTTGTTGTCAATGAGGTTGTTGTTAATGATGATGATGAGGATGAGGATGATCCAGAGATGGGAGGTTGAGGTGATGTGAATTCGGAATGAGTTTGACTGTGAGATGGTGATGATGATGAAGACAGATATTGTAAATCTTTTGATTGATTGTCTTTTTTCATTTTATCCAACATTGACCTATTCTCATCTTTATTGTTACTCCTAGTGTAACCATTATCATTTATATTACCAGTCATATTAACATTGGCTGGAATAATAATTGAACTGTTTCCACTACAAATGGGACTTAATGTATTGTGGTTAATTGTGTTTGATAAAACGGTTGATGTAATCACAACACTGTTTGTGGCTTCTGTTGTTACTGATGTTGCCGGTGTTTTTACTGTTGAACCATTTCCATTGTAAATACAGTTTCGACTTTCATTCCAAGTTGACTTGTTTGCTTTACTTGCTGTTGTTGATGATGATGATGATGGTGTGACTGGTGAAGATGATGATAGGGATGAGGTTGCTGTTGGAAGACAATTTGGTTTAGATGGAAAGCAACCATTTAAAGCTCGAGACTCACTTGACTCTGAATTAATTTCAATCAGATGACGTTCAGCATTGTAAGAGTTTAAGGAATGTAAAATTGGTGGAGTTGATGAGGTTGTGGTTGATGATGAAGGTGAGGATGATGAGGAGGAGGATGATGAAGATGCAGGTGGTGGTGAGAGAAGATCTTCATTTTTTGATTCTTTCATTGGATTCCATGGTGACTCTCGATAAGGTGGACTTGATGAAGTTGCTGTTTGTGCCAATGACCATATTTTAGGTCTAATTATTTAAATTGTCGAACAATTGGATTACCAAAAAAAAGAGAGGAAAGAATGGGAGAGAAGAAGAAAAAAGGAGGAAAATTTGGGTTTTCCGTATTAAAAAATTATCTTTTGTCAACATGAAGAAACCATTAAATATTAATGATTGAAGTAACCAATAGTGATTGACAATTGTATTGCTTCTTATTTTAAATATGGTTGAAGTGTGATTAAGAGTTTTGTTTGATTACCTTTGAATGTCAGTTGTAGCTGAGGCCAAATCATCAAGTCGTCTCATGTCAATCTGATCGTTTGAAAGTTCTTGCTTAATGTGTCCAGTGGGATGTGGACGATGGAAATGAGGTTGAATGTGATTTACAGTCGAGACTGGAATCACTTGAGAGGCTTGTGATGCTTGAGGTAAATGATGATGAAGGTGATGTGAGTGAAACAGATGAGGTTGGGATAGGTTGCCATTGATGTGACTTGGATAGTGAGGTGACTCGGTTGGCTGATGTTGACTTAGATGGGAAAAGGGATGAAGCTGTTGACTATGGTTGGGATGATGCAGGTGAGTTGGGTGAGTGGGATGAAGGGTGGAATGGTGATGATGGGAATGAGGATGGGAAGGGTTAAAACCTGGATGACCGTGATGAGTGTTGATCATGAGTTGTGATTTATTTTCATTTGCAGAGACTTCAATATCATCTGAACGGTTAACCAAAGTATAACTGGGTTTACATGTATCAACATCATTAGATAAATGGTCATCATTAGTTGGTTCATCGAGTCGACGACACTTTTGTTTACTACTATCATCACAATTGTCCATCGATGCACTCATACCTGGTAAAGAGTAAAAGAGTGAAGAAAGAATCTCATTAATGATGGAACAAAAAGAAAAACTTTTTACTTTACTTTGAATGAGAACAAATGAGGAAGAGAAAAAAATCACATTATTATTCTTCCAACTGACCATTACAATTTTCACTTCTTATTTCATGGTCATTATCATATTCCTGTGAGATTTGCCAAGAAGATTTTTTTTCCTGTTCTAAAATGAAAAGCTAATTCCAAGAGTAATTCTGCATTTTAAGATTTTCGTTGATGATAAGGTGATGAGGATGATGATGAAGATTATCACTTGGATAAAAGCCTATAGAAATTTTATCCTTCATTTCAAAGCCTATAGACCATTTCATTTGATGAGTTTCTACGATTTCATCATCATTCTCTTCATCTTCATCTTCATCTTCTTCTCGATAATAAAGTTGCTTGAAGATTCTCTCATCTCAAGCTGCCAAAAATGTCAAATAAATCATTCCCTGTGATTGTAAGTTAACAAACTTATATGAAAGTGATGATAACAAATCACAGAGAAACTGAGAATTGTATTGCAAAAATGTAATAGGAAAAAAACGTCCAACAAAAAATGACTTTTCTAGTTACTTTGCTCACTCATTTTCACTTCTCTCTTCATCTTCTTCATCTTCTGTCAAACATATTTGTTTCCATCATCTTCATCATCCTTGCCCTTCCCTTTGCTCATATTGTCTCAATTAGATTTGATGCGAAACATAAGAAAAGCAAAAGTCAACCACAAACAGAACAAATGAAACAAAATTAAACGATTCAAATATCAATATCAAAGTTTATTACATTTCCTTCCCTTCAACCTTTTCCAATATCAAAGTTAACAAAAAAGTTATCGCAAAGGCTAAACTCAATCCCAGAAACAGGTTCAAGAGTTTGCTAATAAATCTTTCCAAATGAATCTCAAACTGTGTCCAGAATAAAATGTTGAAATCACTTCAGTAAATGCGAATGTTCCACTTGAAAACTTAACGATAGTTTAATCATTCTCAGTGTGTGGGTATTTTTTATCATCAAAACTTAAGAATCAAACTTGTTCTAAAAACTGAATTTTCATCAAGAAATTGAACGTTCGATACGTTTGACTTCTGATTCCCAGTTGTAGAACGTTCATTTTCCATGAGAAGCTCATCTGGAAATTTACTTTCTTTGGCAAACTTACAACACGAAAGATTGTTTGAACCAAACCAGAAAATTATGATAAATTGAAACATTGTCAAAGTCACTCTAAGATTTTAAAATGGAAACTCAAAGGGAAATAAAAAAGATGACAACAAAAGTCTAAATCATTCGAAATTAATTGCATTCGATATTGAATCTTGAACATTGAATTAATGAGAAAATATGAAAGAATCGAGACTGAACGTAAAACAAGAATCCAATAAAATACAAAAGAGTTGAAAAAGTTATTCTCCTCAAACACCAATTCAACAGCAAGAAAATTCAATATCTCAAAGTTGAACAGAAAATTTGTTAACATTTATCACAAGTTTCCCTGACCATCCAATATTTTATTTACAAGAAAAGGTGAAATTGTAAAATGACAAAATTTCTAGCTTCTGTTGAATCTGAAAACTGATGAAAAACATTATTGATAATACTTTTTGTTCACTTTTTCCCATTGAATTGATCACACCTTAAATGAAGAAAAATAAAACATGAACAACAACAAGAGTGAAAAAGTGAAAGTAAAGTGCAAAAAAAGCTATTATAATACATAGTAACAAGTAAAGGCTCGTAAAAGATGTTACATGGTAAACACCTTACCATGTTTGAAAGGTTGAGTAGGCAAAGAGCATAAAAAAGACAGGTTATCAGGGAGTAAAAAATAGCTACTTGGAAGCATTAAGCTTAGCATTTATTATTATCTGAAGAAGCGCAAAATTTGTTGACAAAATGCGCTTGAAATGTGAAAAATGCATTACATTTCACAAGAGCTTTGAGTCTCACAGGATTGTTTTACACCTTTCATCTTCTCACAAATTATCATGTTGAACCTTTCGACCTTTTTTTGCTCCAACAAAATGAAACCGAAAAAAACCGAAAGTCATTCATTTTTTTGTCTCTCAAAAGTATTCATTTTTTTGTTTTTGTTTTTGTTTTGTTTGTTTTTCTTACCGTCATCATCTTCATCCTCGTCTCCATCGTCTCCAGTAATTGAATCTTTCTCATCTTTAATCTCGATATTTTCATTGGTTTTACTTCGAGGTTCCCAGGTCATTTTGTTTTCCTTTTTTAATCGCCTTCGGGCATTGGCGAACCAAGTTGACACCTTTTGTTGGATAATATGATAAAGCAATAGTTAGAACACATTGTGACATTTGGCCAACATTCAGGGATGAAGGAAGGACTTGTTAGTGAAATTCATCTGTTAATCCGAAATAAATTGAAATCGATAAATAATAATATCACTTTCAATGTTGACCAATCTTCAAGTAACTTTGACAGTTTGATTGGATAATCTTTTAATCGCATTTTGATGCTTCAATAGAAGAAAATTTTACTCTTTTTCAGGTCAAAGTTGTACTTTTTGTCTGCCATTTCGGTCTAGGGTCCTTTCAGCGAAAAGAATTTGAGCGAAGGTCAACTGAGCGAAAAGGAATAAGAACAAAACTGAGTCTATTAGGGCTGTTAAATGATTTCTTCGATCGACAGTTTTCGAGAAAATCGTGTTCAAAGTTGAAACTTCGATAGATTTTTGTACAGTTGTGTGAACAGATTTTTCATTTTGCTGTAATACTTTTAATGGCCAACCAGAAAATGCACTTATTTTGTAAAATAAAATATCACTTCGATTTTCAGTTAGACCTGCATTTCGAGTGGCCGTAGTGGTTAGAGACCTGAAACTCATCTTTCAAAAGATTCAGATCTGATCGAAGTTTCAACTTTGATCAAGATTTGCTTATTTGCCTTATTCATTTAGACATTTAACCAGTTTATTTAAAAAAATCAGCTCAAAATCTTCAAGTTGAATTTTCGCGAGTGACTTTTGCCTGAATGCCTTTCGCTCAGTTGACCTTCGCTCTTTTGTCTTTCGCTAGAATGACCCGTCCCCGCCATTTCAAAGCGTTTTACTTTTCTAAAAGTATCAACCTTAAAGCACTTGTTTCAGTGACAGATTTCAAGAAATGCTAAAAGGTAGCATTACCAAAGAACGGCAAATGACGATTCTATTTATTCATTAAACTAGAAATGAAGATTCAGTTTGTTTTAATCGCCTTTTAAATGAAGCTTTGTCAATTTTATACAAGTGCTTATAAGCAACTTTCGGTTTATAATAGTCAAAATTTTAGACATTCAATAAAAATTATTACCGAAATTGAAGTTTTCGGGAAGTTATGATGATGACTAAGGATGGTTTCAAGATCTCTTTTCATTTTGAATTTACTAATTTTTTGATTCAAATCTCAACTCTATCAAGAGAAATAACTTTGTTTTGTTCTCGATTTTGGTTTTTGGCTTCTTTAGCACTAATTTTTCTAAAAAATTCACATAAAAATGGTTCTAAATTCTGCATAACAAGAAACAATAAGCTTACTATTGTTACTTAATAGTAGTTATTAGTATTTAATAATTTGTAGCGTTTGATGTTTGTCAGTTCAGCCAACTGGAATGAACTTGGAAAGATTGCAAATGCTACTGAGTTCCGTGATTGATTCAATCTCATTTCTGTTCATTTTCATTTCTGTTCAAATTTAAATGCTTATTAGAATCTAATCCACTTTACCAAAGTAAATTGTAAGCATTTAATTGTACAATAATGTCAACTATTAAGTTTATCATGAAAAAGTTAATCCGATGCAAAAAGAGGCTCAAATATTCAATATTAGTACTTTCAAATATTCTTACTAATGTGAAAAGATGAACGATTATGATCCAAGTAATGAAGTTGAATTAAGTGAATTTTTACTAACGATTGAACTGCTTCAACCGTTTTTCAAGTTTGTAATGTTTAAAGATTTGACTCATTAACAGCTTCACTTGTAATTTGTTACATATTAGGGGGTGTGAAAGGTGTGAGGGAAACGGAAAGGATGAGTTTTGCAATTCATATTGTGTTTGCTTTTCCAACATCGCAGATGAAGAAATTAATTGCTTAGAAAATGAAAAAATTGCATTGGTCAAGAAATTGAGTCAATTTTTGGTCAAATGAAAGCAAATGAAGTGATTGAATGAACAGTTTGCATCTTTTACTGTCGATGTTGAAGGTTGTTTGAAAAGATTTGAAAGCTTTTTTTTCGTTGCTCAATTTGATTGCAATACTTACTTGAGTCAGTGTCATTTGAGTTATTATTGCAAGCATAATCTTTTCCCCTTTGGTCGGATAAGGATTTTTACGATGCTCATAAAGCCATGATTTGAGAGTATTTGTCGTTTCACGAGTTGCATTTTTACGTCGAGCTGCACTCTCCATGGCTCCATGTCGGTTACCATAAGAGTTGTAAAGGCTTCCATCATAAGGATAACACGAAGGAGGCGGAATGTGAGTCCAATTACTCACTGGTTGCTCTTTAATATCATAATTTGATGTTGATCCCTTTTCATGTGAACACACACACCAACGATTGAAAAGAACGAGAAAAAAACGAAAGAAAAATGAATCTTGAACTGTAATGAAGCAGGTAAAACTAAGGCTTACCAATGATGGATAAATTGATGCTGGACCGGCTGCTGTTGCTGCAGCAAAAGCACTCATATAGTTGGCATTATCCGAGTAAGGTGAGGAACCATAAATACCATTCAATCGAGGATAGGTTGACCCAACGAAGCGAGTCTCATAGGATGAACTAAATCCACAAATGGTAGTTAACGATGGACTTGGACTTGCAGTCAGATTACCGGACAACTCGGTTGTAACGGAACAAGGTACAGTTGACATGATAACGACGTTATTGTTCAAATCAAACACACCAAAAGCAGTTGCACAAAGTAAAACATCTCAACATAACAAATCAAAAAGTGAAAAACTTGACTTTAAATTAACTCTTCTTTACCTTTCAACCTTTGACAATCTCAACCTTTCAATATGTTCATCTGTAATATAAACATGACAATTTGATGTTTTGCAACATGCAAAATCAGAAAAGGTTATAAAATAAAAGTGAAAACAACCAAATGATTGTAATGATGACAAGTTATTCAATGAGAATGATAATAGTTTTGTTTGATGATTGATGGTTGATTTGATGAAAAGGGATTACAATAAAACTCCAAACAAACATGGATAAAAGTTGTATCAAAAAAAAGGTAAACAGTAAAGACCAATGAGGTTGGAATGAAAAATAATATCGAAAACATTTTTATCAAAAGATCGGAGAAAATGCGCAATCTCTATTATTATATCCAATCAGAAAATGTTATCATTATTCTCATCGCTATTATTATTATCATCATCATAGGAATGCTCAGAATAACAATTTATAATAGTTTTCTGCTGCATTTTTATTCCCGTTTCTTTCTCAGTCTATTTAATTAAAGTAACGAAAATTTTCATCAATTTCTGAATTACTTTTTATTACTTATTTTATTTATTATTCTGTATTAGAGTTACATTTTTTTTCCTTCAAGATTATTAACGTACTGAAACTGTTATTAATTGCTTGAAAAGTTCACTTTTAATCTTTTTTCTGTATTTTTTGTTTTCACTTTAATAACGACTTAGATCTTTTGTGTTTTTGAGCTTAAATTTCCTTTCAATTTGGTAAAATTGGTTTAGTGGTTTACGATTGAAATTAAATTTTGTTCAACGTTAATCAAAGTTGTCATTCTATCGGAGCAGGTCAGGGTTACGAACGCCTACAACACCTAACTCTTCGAGCTCCGTATAAATTACGTCCAATTCTTCCTTTAATTCCAAGAGAGCTGTATTGATAACATAACGAGCTTTTTCATCTTCATCAGTGTGCTCTTTAATACTTAAAGTTAATCCAGGGGGTTTACTAGCCTCCAGTAATTGAATGACTACAGGTAAAGAAACTGCACGGATATCTTTCAATTGGATAACTCGTTGATAGGTTGAAAAATCAAATGTATAATCGACAACATTTTCTTCGTGTTTCCTGACTTGGTATTGATAGGATTTGTGTGGTAAAGCCCAATAGTCGGAAATATTGAAACCAAGTCTACTCAAAAATTTTTGTACATATCTTGTGTAACCTTCTAAGGACACATAATCAGGCGAGAAAAACTGCGAAAAAATGAAAAAATGAAAAATTTAATCTTAACCAATTAATAATGAAACGCTTGCTTACCTGAAAATTAATTAGATTGTAGAATGGAATCGGTGGTTTTAGTAGACTCAAATATTCAGGTTCATTTACTCCGACTATCACAGTTTTATTAATATATTTGGCTTCATCACCTTCCAATGGTTTTAGAAGATTTTTTTTCTTTTTACCCATGCATTGGATAACTGAAGGTTTGATCAAACAACGATTGATTAAACCTGTTGAAACCTTAAACATTTCAAAACTGACTTATATAATAATGTTCTTAATAGTTAAAAAAAAGTTGAATCTAAATGTTTACACGAAATTAAAAACAAAAACACATGTTTACAGTTGTTGGAATAGCCACAAGATGGCAGTGATTAGTCCGTGAGAGGTGAACCGATATATCAATATAATCGATATTTTTCGATATTTCGTATGATATATCGATAAATATTTAAATATCGAAAAAAATCGTTGCAGTTCTTGGCCATTGTTCAGGTCAAAAAGTTTGATGTTTCGAGAGCGATACCTCGGTTAAAAAATGATTCATATTTTTAGAATCTGGATAAAAAGACAAGAAAAAGCATTTTGAAAGTGATCTGAAAATAGGCAACTTTTGACATTCTCCTTTGGTTGTTTAAAGGGAAATTGTTCACCATTCTTGTTATCAAATGATTTTTCTCAATTCACTGGCTTGTTTACTGAATCGTTAACAATTTTCATATTTAAACCTTTAAATGGTACCACCATTACCCGAAAATAATCTAATTTTAATCAATTTTCGCTCCTTTTGTACCTTCTATCAACGCAACTAATTCATTATCTCATCTTTCTTTACAGATTTTTGCAATAGATTTGGCTTTAAATGTTTCCATTTTCGGTTATTTGGCTGCTTTGACCTAACAACAATAACTAAAACTGAAAAAAAAATTTAATTCAAGCCGTGTTTCGTTTGAAATTGTAGTCCTGAGTTGAGTAAATTATAAACATGAAACCTGAAAATTGCAGACTTATCTCCCGCTAAGACCAGTAAACAAGTTAAATCAATAATCAGCTAATCTTCATGATCCATTGAGATCGAGATTTCGTTTATTCCAAGAAAATTTCGGTTCGATAAAAAGTAAATCACCTTGATGACAATCGAATAGATAACCTGATTATTGTAGGTCGATAAGTAAATCGAGGCTGGTTCAAACGAAACGAACATTGACATTGAATAATCATTTTTTCCCTTCACATAATCACAATTGGCATCACTCGATCTACATCCATAATATTACTCATGATCATTAAGAAGAAAAAAGCAGTTTAAGATTATTTGGTACAAGGTTTATTAATTTAGATGATTCGCTCGTATAAAGATTGTGAACAGTGAAAGCAAAAAACAGCAACAACAAGGAATAGGAAGAAAGATGGAAAAGTTCAACTTAATCATGATTTTTTGTTAACTCGAATTATTATATGCCATTAAGAATCTATTGATTTGTTTGGCTATATAATGATTGGTTTGGCATTCTTCTCATCATTAATAACAACAATTATCTTCATTATGATTACCATTTCAGTCAATTCAATGGTATGAATGAACAACAGCAATTTAAATGTTATATTAATACATGTACTTTTTCCTTCAACCTTTTTACATAGAAAGCTAAATTGAAGCGAATTACAAGTTTTCGAAACTGTCCACTCGATTATTCCTTTTATCCTTATTTATTGACGATAACCTCGATTTCCTTGTAATTTGTGTATTTTACCACCAATCAACGAATCGATTTGTTTTCTTGTTTTTTTTATATTTATCAATTGTATCTTAATTGAATTAAAGGAGATACTGAAAAGGTAAAATGGCTTAACTTTCCACCAGTAAACCGGATAATCAGGAAGACTAAAAACCTTATTCTGATATGTTGATTAAACAGTTAAATTGAACTTGATATTTTCATTTTTTCTTCTCCTTTCTTTAATCTGCTTTTTTTGCTTCACAATTTGTGTCTCTTTTAATCATCATTATAATCAATTTACCATTAAAATTATGCTTTCCAATAAACAAGAAAAAAAAGTGAAAGTTACAGCAATCCTTTATAAACAACATCATTGATTATCAATGGACTACACTTTAAACATTTACAGCTAATTTGATAATTGTCATTTGATCTGACTATTTCATGTAATCTGAGAGGCTTCAGAGTCTTGTCTATCTGTTTCCTGATTGAGTAATATACATCATCAATTGATACCAGATTCATTTGGTATTGATGGCAAACATTATGGCAAACATTAACATTGATCTTATTTTCAATTTCCGAGCTTGGGTTGAATTTGAAGTTATTAGCAAGAAATTAAGGTTAAAATTATTATTTAAACACAATTTATCTCAAAAATTAGGGTCAATTAAAGCTATTTATTGAAAATTAGACTCAAAATATGGTTAAATACAATAATTGACCAAATTTCAATATTGAGTTAACTTGGTAAGGTTTGGCGGGTAAGGCACAAAGTAATATCATTAGATATATTAATTAATATTACAAAAAGGTTTCATTCCAATCAGTGTTTAATCATTGAAATACTCGGTGTTTGTTAATCATGATAAAATGTTGCTGTTACCAGTCAACGTTGACATTAAAAAAGGTTAGAAACAGGTAAAAGCCAAACAGCAAGTTTATACCGCAAAATGTTATAACCTTAAGCTATAAACAAAGTTGCGATAAATATTAAAAAAAAGTTGATGATTAACTTGATTAAAGTGAAATTAACTTTGATTGGTAAGTGAAAGTAATAGATGCACAGCAAATATATACTCATATGTAAATGTAAAAAAACAAATATGGCGATAAGGAGAGTATTGACTTGAAAGGGTAAAACAGTGCTTCAACAATTGAGATTTACAGGACTAAATGAACATTGCTATTCTGAATGGACCGAGGAAAAGGAGGGAAAAGAGAGAGAGAAGAGAGTAAAGATGAAGATGAGGATAAATATGAGTGAATGGATGAGATGAAATGTTACGTGTTATTGAAACGATCCGAAACTTGACCTACTCCCACAAAGGACAAAATAATTTTAATATTCACTTCCGTGGTTACCATTCACTTTGAAATTTTTCTTCCTCCTCTTTTCGTCTTTAAATCTCTTCTCTTCTCGCATTTTGTTTTTTTACCTCCTCTCCTTGAGAGAGGAAAGGTAAAGGTGAAACAAAAGTGTCACCAAAAAAGGGTGAAGATGCCAATTAAGAAAACATTTTGTTTTTAATATTCTCGTATGTGTTTGTTGTTGGCGTATTTGTTTCAATTTAAAGTTGGTTGTTGACAAAAGGTATCATTGGGTTGTGAAGAGGACATATCAAAATGGTTTTTATCAAGATATTGATAATTATTGTTGTAAGCCAAAAGGAACAGGTGAATCAATCGAGACCAGGGTCATCGCAATTTTGGTAATCAACCCATTAACAAGGTGAACAAGAGACTGTAAGATGAGGAGAGAAGAGGAAAGATGACAGAGGTTGGGGAAGGATAAAAGGTCAGGGAAAAGAGAGGAGAGAGAAAAATGCAAAAAAATTGCTCAAAAAAAAAGGTTTGGTTAAAAGCCTTTGATTATTTGACTTTTTTAATGTTTCCATTGGAATCACTAAGATTTGTTATTGATGGTGAACAAGTCGTTGATGATGAGGAAAGAGATTTTGCAGATGAACTTGATGACGACAATGATGCAAATCTTTTGTAGGTTTTATCATAAAAATCGGTGAAAAGGAACCAGAATAAAATTCCATGTGAACCAATCCAGAGACCAAAAATTTTGGGAAATGAGCAGCTTGGTTGGAAAAATAGTTGAAATGAATGGATTCCGATGGCAACAAATTGTACCAATTGAAATATTGTTAAATACTTTTTCCACCAAAGGTAAGGCTTCATAACTGGTCCAATGGCTGCCAGGCCATAATATGTATACATAATTACATGGACAATTGAATTGACGAAACCAAAAAAGGTTGCATGTCCACCAGGGACAAATTTGGCTCCCCACCAGACGGAAAAGGGTAATAATCCGTGGTGGATAACGTGAAGATTGCTTATTTGCTCATTCTTTTTACGAACCACAAAGAAAATGGTGTCCGTAAATTCAACAAATTTTAACAAGAAGTAAAAATAACAATTGTACACTATTTTCATTGATATTGGGTTAACTGAATAGTCAACTGGATCACATGTTAAAGAGACTCCCGGTTGAAGCCAATGGTAGACGATTTCAGTATAGACAACATACGATGAACACAAAACCATGGTAAAATTGTATATAATCATGGCCATTCGCACCTCAAAGGGTTTACGGTTTTTCATTAAATTGGGTCCAATTTTTTTTACAAATAAAACATAGGCAAGACATATTGCTGCAACAGGAAAAGGACTTTGCATTAACGGTAGATGAGCAACTCGGGGGTCACCTTTTGACAGAAAATGGTCAAGCTCTTTCGTTAACCAGTGAAACATTTTGTTCTCCTGCTTAATCTGGAGGTTAACAAGTAAAAAAATTTACTGATTAACAATGAATGTCCAAAAAATTTGATGGCAAAGGTTTGGGTAGAAACCAAGAAAAAAAAGGTTAAAGTTGGATCACAAGAGAAGGCACACAATGAGGTAAAGATAAACAATACAACTTGTTGATTAGAGTTTGAAATGTTAATTTACAATAACCAAAGTGATTGTGTAGGCTATTGACAACTGTCCAGATGAGAGGGAGAGAGAGAGGGATTAATCGAGATTAATCAATCATCAAACAAAGTCACCAAAAAACAGACTAACATCAAAAAAAAGGAATACGCTTTTGCTATTGACAAAACAAAAATAAAATCAGACGTGAGCATAAAGGGTAAATCAAAAGTATATACACTATTTTTAAGAGAGATGAAAGGAGAAGACAAGATGTTGATTGTTGTTGATTATGACACTGTAATGTTAATGGTGATAGTGGTGATGGTGATGGTGAAGATTATGATGAAAATAAGGAATGATCCAACCTTCGATTGTGATATGTTTTTTTTCAGGTTCACTGTTGAGAGTTGTGATATGAGTGAGTCGTTTACAGTTTGGATGAAAAAAAACCGGGAAGAAAGCTGAAAGGCAACAGAAAGAGAGTTAGTAAGAGATAGAATGATGATGACCGAGAAAGAAAGAGGGAGGGAGATAAATATTGAGCTTGTTAATATTGAACTTTATCAAGGTAAAAGTTAATCTTTGATTAAGTGACAAGTAATTGTCCTTGCAAGCTGTCTGTACCAAAACCAATCTAAATTGAGTCCAATGTAAATCTCAATCCATTGTCTAACCTGATTATTTTAAGATAAACTCTTAAATTAAATCTTTCCTATTAGCTGATTGTGAAAGGACACAAGATTAACTGGTCCAATGTGTTAAATTTTGAGCAAAAATTGGGTTAACGTCAGGATACTAAATTGGGTATTGGTTCACAGTAGCAATAACAATGGATGGGATAAAAGCATAGGCAAAGTCAATAACATTGAAGATTCCGGACTAAACACATAGGGAATTTAATTGCTATGAAGAGTGAGATACAATTATTGTTCATTTAAACAGTCGAAAAGAAGTAATTAAAAATTCAAAAGAGCTATTAGAATGGATGTTTACTTGCGCTCAATGGTGAATCAGAGTGATGCAGACGATGTATCAAATAACATGTGAATGGGTATATCAAGCAAATTAATTTCAACTTATAACTTTAATAGTCTTCACTGCATTAATTACTGAAAGTCATATCCAGAGTTATTGGTTAAAATTAATTGGTTAGTTGACTGATTGATCTACTGAAAATTTGGATAGCTAAAGGGATAGGAACACTGGTAATGGGAATATTGTAATACCAGGAAAATACTGTACCTTGTGTGGTTAAAGGGATACAATTTGTCAAGTGTCACTCTGGTTTTAGCCTATGATGAATGTTGTTCACTGTTTATTATTTTTTCACTTGTTTCACTTTCAGGAATACAATTATATACCAATAATTATCAATTTGTTTCATCGATTTTAAGTGAGAGTTTGTTTTGACCTAACAGTTGGTGATACATTGGTAACTAAAGTATATTTGTGATAACACAACCGGAGAAATGGATCCAACATTGATCAACATTAGCTTTCATCACAACATCACTATTTATCAGTCAATTGACTAGTTTTTGACCAGAAACAAAGTAGGTTCAATATCTCGTTATGCATCAGTCTTTTATTTAATTCAATTCATTCTGTTTGGCCATCACCTGGGTAATTCAGTTTTTATTGATTTAGTAAATCAATCAAACCATTACACATCCGTAAAATGTTGTCATAGACCAGATTAATGTTTTCTAGTCCATTTAGGTGTTGTCGTTTCTGTAGCGTTTCTTTATGTGAGTGTTGGATTGAATATCACTGGATTTTCCTGAAAGCAAAGAAAAGAAATGACTTGAATAGCTAAATCTATGAATTGATTTGGTTTCTTATCCGTCAATCCGTGAAATTAATTTAATATAATCAATGGCAATTAAAATCCGTTTTTCATATGTAACCGATATTCAAACATTGAAAATCAAAGCAAAAAGTAAAATGTCTTTCGCTCAATAAACCCAGAGAAATGACAACAATCCTGAATGATAGAAGTGAATCAAGGTGATATCTAGAAAATATATTTTTTCATTATTCAGTGAAATAAACACAACTAAATATTTGGAATCAAAAATGCTACAATTTAAATAAACTTTAACAATTTAGATAAAAATGAACGCATCGATAGTCGATATTTAAACAGTTTCACCTATACCAGATGGCGTTAATGGTTTAATGGTTAAAAACGAGGATTAACGCCATCTTAACATTTGATTTTCAACTAAAATTTGCTGATAATTTTAATAAAAAATTTTACTCCGAGTGACAACTAATTTTAATATTAATAATAATATCTGGAATGGCAAATCATTGCTATTTTAGGGTGTAATTTAGAACCAATTTGGTAGCCATTTTACTTCTCGTTGTCACATAACAAATTATTCAATTGATACGTTTCATTGCACCATTTGATAAAGATAATCAATCAATGAATAAATAATTTCTTGGAATTTTAATGAAAGTATAAAATACAAAGGTCTTTTAATATTTCCTTGTAAAGCTTTCAAATTCATCATTCGAAGTATTTTTTAATTGGATTTAAATTAAACTGTAATTTGTTAATAAAATAAATAAATGTGAAGAGGATGTTTTTAATTCAAAAAGTTCATCTTAATTTAAATTTATTTGATAGGGAATTCATTGTTTGAGCCGAGAATCAATAAGGAATTGAATTGGTTAAATGGACACATCAACTTAATCGTAATTATCTAATTATCCCTTAACATTACATAAGATTATAAGATTTTTCCCTAGAGGCGCTGCTATTTAAGCCGGTGATTGCAATTTTTGTTGCTTATAGGTGTACAGAAAGTTCGTGTGAGGGGAAAAAATAATTTCCCTTGCGCATTGAACACATTTTCTATTGTTATTAATTTTTCCCTAGAGGCGCTGCTATTTAAGCCGGTGATTGCAATTTTTGTTGCTTATAAATGATTTTGTTTTTTTTCTTGAGTTTGAATTTAAATTTCAATTACTATTTTTCATCCTACATTTATTAATTGGTTTAAATCCTCAGCTGTACAGTGGAACAAGCAAAAGGATTATTAAAAATAAGTAACATTGTTAAATTAATGTTACAACATTTTTAAAATACAATTGAATGACAAACAGAATAGTAGAAGAGAGAGAAATAGAAAGAGAGAAAGAAGCAAGAAAGATTACGATTTAACATCACCATTGCAAAGGTAAGATCTTTTTTTTGTATTGTCCTTTCCAACTCCAAATCTTTTTGGGTTTTTGTGTACAATGTGCGTGTAATCTTTGTCTTGATTTGTTCTCCCTTTTTCTCTGTGTGTTCACCTTATCCTTGAATAATTTATCATCGTCTAGATATTTTTATTCAGTGTGTTTTGTAACAATTTTTAACTCTGTCTTTTTCATATTCTTCATTTTCTTCATGTTTGAAATTTCTGATATTTTAGTCTGTGCTGTGTCTGCCTCTCTGTCTCTTTTTCTTTTCATCATTTTATCTTCGCCCGGTTCTCCCCAAGTCTTCATTTTGGGTTCATCTTTTTCTAATTTTTCTTTCTACTGCTCTGTCTTTGCCTCCTTTCTACAATCTTTTTTCCTTTCTCATTTTTCTGCATATTTTTCGTACCTATTACTGACTTTCTCTGTTTCTCTCTATATTCTCTGTCTCTCATTTCCATCAAACTCACTTACCATTTTATCTTCTGCTGTGTGATCATGTACTTCCTCTTTTTCCCATCACAACCTCTCTTACTCAGTTGTTTCAGGACATTTACATTATCATCATTATTTTTACAGCTACTGTTATACTGGTAATAAACAAGACCGAAAAGGAAAGGAAAGAAAATAACTATTCTACTTTACGGTTCTGTGCTTTGTATCATATTTGTTGTGTCTTTGGTTTTCCTTCTTCTTCCCGGTTCTACCAAGACAACTGAATCGTGTCCGGACAAAATGACCAAAGAAGTCGAAATGGAAGTCGACGATAACGACAAAGTGGCTGCATTGAAGTTTGCTAGTGAAGTTGATAAAATGGTTAACAGAGAGTTAAAAGAAGGTGAATTTTGGTATGTCTTGGACAATAAATGGTTTCAAACGTATAAACAATATTTACAAGCCTGTGACGATGACATGGTCAATAACCCAGGACCTATTGATAATAGTGACCTTTTCAAAACACCTGAAGGAAAAACGTTGACTTTGAAAGAAAACCTCGTAGAAAATGAAGATTTTGTTTATGTTCCTGCTGAACTCTGGACTATTCTAGTTAACGAATTTGGTTTAAGCGGCAAAAAACATATGATTCGTCGTAAAGTTATTGATCGTCCATCGGCACGAGCAAGCTATAAGCTACTTGAACTTTATCCAGTAGAACTAAAGTTATGCCTTCATGGTACCAAACAAGAAATCATAACAGCACAGTTCAGTCAAGTAACGACTTTGAAAGAATTGGAAAAAGAGATGAGAAAACTTTTCAAGGTAGATGATAAAGCAGAAACTCAGCTATGGGCATGCGGTTCTCTTTTAAATGCATATGACCCATCAGAACCCAAGAAAAATGATGATCAAACTCTTGTGGAAGCGAGCCTTTCTAGTGGCGCAATTGTTACTTTAGGTAAGTGATAAGTTCTATTTTGTATTAAAATATTTAGCACCTTTAAAAAATATTTAACTTTATAATCTCAATTTATCTACTATTATCTCTTATGTTTCCTAGAGGTTCAAAATTCGGATGGCTCATGGCCAAGTAGTCGACCTCGTTTTGGGGCGATCGCCACTCGATCATCAAAAATAACTCCAGGTCTTTGTGGATTAATGAATCTTGGAAATACGTGTTTTATGAATAGTGCCCTTCAGTGTATGTCTAATACTCCACCATTAACCGAGTATTTTGTGAATGACAAATATTGGGATGAATTAAACGTGGATAACCCTCTTGGAATGGGCGGAGAAATCGCAAAAACTTATGGTGATCTTAATAAAGCAATGTGGTCCGGACTTCATTCCTTTCTCTCTCCTCGTGAATTTAAACAAGCGGTCGGAAAATTTTCTCCGCAGTTCAGTGGATTTCAGCAACAAGACTGTCAAGAATTGATGGCTTTCCTTCTCGATGGACTTCATGAAGATTTGAATCGTGTTAAAAAGAAACCTTACATAGAAATAAAACAAGAGATTGACAAAAGACCTGATTCGGTCGTTGCCGCTGAGTCATGGTCCAACTATCTTAAAAGAAATGATAGTATCATTGTTGACACTTTCCATGGTCTTCTCAAATCAACTTTAGTCTGTCCGGAATGTGATCTTGTTAGTGTAACTTTTGATCCATACTGTTACCTTTCCTTACCGCTGCCTGTTAAGAGAGAAAGAGCCATTGATGTAATGTTTGTGCCTGCTAGACCATTAACTGTTGGACCAGAGAAAAAGATTAAACAGGTTATTAAAATTTGTAAGCTAACGGTTCCCAAAGTGGGCATTGTACCAGATATTTGTAATGCTGCGGCTAGAGCTATCAACGAAAGTAAAGAAATTAATGGTTTTACAGTTAATCCGTCAAATTTAATCGTTACAGAAGTCAACCATTATCGTCTCACCAGAGTGTATAATCAAGATGACTCCTTCTCGTCCAATGCCGATGAAATCTATATTTTTGAAAAACTGGATGATTGTACAGCTTTACCTGTTTACATTAGAAGGGTTAAGGGTGAAGACTCAGCTGTCCTTTTTGCTAAACCTTTCTTTGTCAATATTAAACAGTGTACTTATGAAGCATTGTATAGTGCAGTGAAAAATTATGTGGAAACATTGATGGATGAACCCGGTTTTACTAAAGAGACGACCACTCAGAACAATGATGGAGATGAGGAAATGGGAGCTGGTGCTAATTCGGATAATGGTGACACTACAAGTAATAATCAAGTTAACCATAAAACACCTACATCTACAGTAACATCTGCATCACTTTCACCAGAAACTGCCTCATCATCAGTATCAAATACACCAACTAACTCTGCGACAGAAGCCACAACATCAGCTATAGCACCAACAGCAACAGCATCAACAGCAGCAGCAGCAAGTGGCGATGAAAAAGAATCACCAATGGATGATAAAGAAGATGGTGAAGTAGAGGGTGAAGATGAACCATTCACTCTCAGATTAATAAATAGTTTTGGAACCATGCCTTTGGGCAAAATTAGTAAAGATAAACCTCTGGAATTGGGAAGTAAAACTTTTATTGCTGCTGATTTTACCAAACGATTCAGAATTCGTTCAATTGATAATGAAGAGACCATGCTGCGAATGAATCTTCAAAAGAGTACAAGTAATGTTGGTAAATCTCATAACTTAAGTGAATGTATCGAACAATTTACAACAACGGAAAGACTCGGTGAACATGATCTATGGTACTGTCCTAGATGTAAAAAACGTCAGCAAGCATCGAAAAAATTCGACATCTGGTCCCTACCCAAAGTAGCCATTTTTCATCTTAAAAGATTCTCCTATTCCAAATATTGGAGAGACAAATTGGATACTTTTGTTAACTTTCCCCTGTATAATCTAGATTTAGGACAATATTTGATCAATAATCCGAAAAAAGAGAAGATCTTATATAATCTTGTAGCCGTTGCCAATCACTATGGTGGCCTTGGAGGTGGTCATTATACGGCTTACGGTAAAAATAAAGAGACTGGAACTTGGTATCATTTTGATGATTCAAATGTATCACAAGCTTCTGAAGATGCTGTTGTATCTAAGGCCGCTTATGTACTCCTTTACCTGCGTCAAGATTAAAGAGTCGGTGAAATTAACTAACAAATTATGATATTTAATTTTGTTTTAATCATATTTTTGGGCGGAAAAGATCACATATATATACACACACAATCAAGCACACCCTTATTTGAATACATTAGACCTTCGTTTTCAAAGAGAGAGTGAAATTGATGGGATTTATCAAGAAAAGAAAAAAGAAGCTCCATAGAAAGTAACATTGTTTTTGTTTTGTTAATCCGAAAGTGATGGTTTATTGTAAAAAAACAAACTTATACATATTATTATATAATGTACACTTACAAACTTATACATGAGCTGCTGATTATTCCTCTAAATACCTCAAACATATATAAGCCAAAAGGCAACAGTAACTCGACGTTTACTATCCACAATCATACCATGATGTCTGATTATGGAGATAAAATCTTGCAGTTGTGACTATGTGACAGTTTTTCTGTTCCCTTTCTATTTCAACTTTTACTTATATGGATAATGATGATTTTGTTATTTTTGATGATAAAGCAAACACCTTTTTTCAGCTTCCAGGACCAGAGTTGGATGCAAACACACAAGCCCAAAAAGTGAAAGAAATAGATCAATATTGTTGTAAAGAAAAGATTAAATATGAAAACTTTATCAATTTTTGATGACGTTAATGATTGAAAGTTGGAAATCGTCATCTTTAATATCAAGCAATCTAAAATGTCCATGAAACAAAATTGAATTGGAATAAGTTTTAATCTGAGAAGAAATGTAAACTAACATGAATGGTTAAATGCAAATTGGTGATAGCAAACAAAATAGATTAACAAGAACCGTTTCTCAGTCTTCCATTGATAATTCACTGTAACTGTCTTTAAACACATTTCCTTTTTCCTTAGTGTGTTTCACCAGTCAGTGAAAAGCTTTACAAATTTAACTTGAATCTAAAATTAACTCAAATCCTTGGTTTGGATGATGCTGATGAAGAGCGAAGTGAATCATCTTTTTTTAACTCAATATTGGTATTTAGATCAATGTCTGTAAAGACAAGCAAAGACCAGAAAAAGAAAAATGGAAAAATGAAATCGAAACACTTTGTTATTGATTGAAAATGTCAGATTGGGTGATCAATGGGATAAATAGATTTTAAATCATTAAAAGTGAAACACTAGAAAAAAATAAATTTATTATTATTTCATGTCTCAAGATAAACCTTAATGATTGATTCATTTTTTCACTTGAAAAGTCAACTTTATACTGAACCCATTTTCGTTGGATATTATTGCCAATGTTAATATTTTCAAATAATTATTACGCTTTAAATTAAACAATTTACGTAATCATTTACGTGGATTGACTATTAGTTAATGATTAAACAACTCCGTGCACAGGATAATGTCTCTCATCAGATCAAACTGTTAATCCTCATCACAACACAAAAACAAATAAATTTAGTTAATAATGACAAAGTGTTGTTGGTTTAACTTATTTTCGTATTCAATCTTATCGCCTCTTTAAAGTAGATTTTGTTGTTCATAAGGTTCGTTGGTATGAACATTCTTTCGACTTCCTCCTTAACCAGAGTTAAACTAACTTTGCTGTTTCAATGATCTCGACAATTTTATCTTCATTCTCATGCTAATAATACTTTTTAATCACAAAATTAGAAATAACCATTTTGGGTTTCAAATCATTTTTGGCTAACCTCCAAAATTTATTTCATTTACATCATAGCAAACTGTATTTCATTTCATGCCTTTAGACTCTTGCTATTTGTAATACAAAATGGAGTGAACAATCGAACTAATCAGAAAATTCGATTCTAATAGTAACCTGGATTGTAATATTTTAGGCTTGAGCTTTTGCTGAATTTTGGTAACCAAAGTTTGGTTTTATAAATAATAATTTTATTGCAATAAATGGGTGGGTTCTATACATTTGAATCCAGAAAATCAACCTTATTTTGATGTAATTTTAATATTGCGATTAAGCGAGCTCAGGACTATAAAATTGTTTTGTAAATTGTTAATTTTTCAACAAAATTTCTCTCTAATTGTAAAAAAGATCAATGAATTGACATAGAATATTTGAAAGGAGCGCCATAGTTTCATTACTCATACTGAAAACATATGGGCTGTGCAAATTGTCATCTCGATATTGCTTTCATCAATGCTTATCAACTTTGAAAGTATTTTCTGATTTCGTTTTTTAAACAATTTGTTATTTTTTTGGTTCCTGATCTAAACGTTCAACTTCTTCAATCATAATGTCTTACCGTGATTATAATCACGAGATTATTAAAAAACGTCGACTAGAGGCAGAAATGGATAATTTCAAGAAAGAAATTAGTAAACCTTTAGCGGCTAGTCAGCCTAATTTCCCTCCGCCGATGCCCTCAAATTCAATGTTTCAATTTATCCCTCATCAAATTCAACGACAAGTGCCACCAATCAATCGACTCAATATGCATTCAACAGTAGGCTTACCTGCAAACTCTGCAGTTATTTCTGCTCCATCCTCATCTTTGCCTGTAAACAAAATGTCCAACATTAAAGGATTCCAGGCGATCAATTCATTACCAGTTGGATCTCCCATTCCAGGAACATCGACTGCCAATCCTGGATATACCGTTACCCCAATGGGATTACCTCCAGGTGTTTCTTTGGCATCAATAGCAGCTAATAACGCATCAGCCTCTACCAATTCAGGATCAGGACCATCTAAAAAGAGTAATAAGAATGCAGAGAAACCTTCTAGTAAAAACAAAAAGTGCTTGAGAGCCGCTGGAGGACAGATATGGGAAGATAACTCACTAGCGGAATGGGATCCTGATGATTTCCGTTTATTTGTCGGTGATTTGGGTAATGATGTTACTGATGAAGTATTGACACGAGGTTTTAGCAAATATCCATCTTTCGTTAAAGCCAAGGTAATCAGGGACAAACGAACAAATAAATCAAAAGGTTACGGGTTTGTTAGTTTTAAAGACTCAAATGATTATATCAGAGCAATGAGGGAAATGGATGGAAAATATCTGGGTAGTCGTCCAATAAAGTTACGAAAATCAACATGGAAAGAGCGTAGTTTGGAAACCGTGAAGAAGAAGCAAAAAGAAAAGGCGAAATTTCTTGCATCTTGATTATCTAGTTGATTAATTGACCTGATAAAACACATGCAAATGAAACATATATTAACTCTCATCTTGATTGTATAAATCACTTATCATTTATAAATATAGATCATCACGACTCATGGCCGTAAAATTAAATAAAGAAGAGACCAGAAATTATTTAGTGATTTTTTGCTTAATAATTTAATCTTTTGCCAAGAAAAAATTGAAAATCTAAAGAACTGATTGATGATCGTCCGAGCAATAATTAACAGTTTGCTGTTGAAAAACTTCACGCTAAAAAGATCTAATTGCTGTTGGTTACGTAAACACAATTTTTAAATTATCGCTAGCAAGAAAGGCCATTGAACCATTTTTGGATCTTCCTGTTTATTTATCCATCAGAGAAGGAAATTAAACTAAATCTTTGGCTCTTTTATATTGTCTTACAGTGATTACACGGATATATCATCTGTAAATTTTCACAGCAAGTTGTTAATTGACCTCGTTTACGCTAAATCAGGTAAAAATTTCAGCATAGCCCACAGTTTTTGATTGTTTATGGAAATTGTAAAGGGATAATTTCATTTTATAATCTCGCCCTTTTTTGAACACAAATGTGTTATCAAAAAATGTAAATATTAGCCTACAATTAAGAGTCATTCTGTTCCCAAACTACCGAAAGACTCACTTCATATTTTTTCAAGTTTTTATTTATCGTGAAGAGCTCAATCAGTATCAAACTGAAAATAAGTTGTAATCAATCAAGTTAAGAAATTAAGCCTTTGATTTTTCAATCGACTCATATTCGAAAGTGTGAAAACGATTTAGAATGGCGAGTCCAATCAAATTTGTAACATTTACAATTTTAATATTTAATTTATTCTTCATCACAAGTTTTGGTCAACTTTTCACTCGGAGTCAAAATGGTGAGCCTCATCTTTTTTCACTTAATCTTGGTAAACTTTAATTTCATTAACTTTCTTTTTCAAGCCACAAATTGTATAATCTGATTCCATTTTATTTCAGTATTCAACAACCTGCTATCGCCAATAATTCCTAGATCTGAATGTTATACTTCAGCTGATAATAGAGTTGGCTTATGTATGCCAAAAGCAGCCTGTGCTTCAACTGGAGGAATAATTGCGGGTAATTGCGGTATTCTTATGGCCTGTTGCATTTGTAAGTTGAACCTTTCTAGGCAATATTTGAGTGTCGATTCTTTCTCCAGAATAATAAACAATTTTCTCTTTAAATAGACCAAGGAACTTGTCGATCAGTGATTAGTGCCAATGAAAGTTATTTCGTATCACCGCAATATCCAACTTTACAAACTGAGCGTCTTAATCCACCGATGTGCATATTTACTCTCCACCGAAATAATTTGATTCAAAAATATCCTATCTGTCAAATTAGACTGGATTTTGATGAATTTTCTTTAGCTCCACCTCGAAACGGATCTTGCGGATTCCAGACAGATTCATTTGTTATCTCAGGAGCTTCCAATTTCAATTCAACTGGACTTCCAGCGAGTGGTCTTTGTGGTGATTTAACGGGGCAGCATCTTTACATTGATGTTGACCCTGATGATGTGAATGAGCCTCTATTGCTTGTTGTTAATACAGCCAATGAGGAAATGTATAATCGTAAATGGAGCATAAGAATTCAGCAGATTCCTTGTCAATCTCCGTTCAGAGCACCTTCAGGATGTCTTCAATATTTCACAGCAACTTCAGGGACAGTTGAATCACTTAATTATCGTGGCATGCCGCGTTCAAGACAACTTAATCAACAGGGATCCGTTAATTTGCCCATTAATCCATTGATTTTGCCTACACAGAGTCCAAACTATTTTCACAATATGAACTATGGCATTTGTATCGCTCAATCTCCCCGAATGTGTGGAATCCGTTGGACTTCAGCTGATTTTGATTTTGGTGGCTTCCGTAAATTACAGTCAGGAGTTGGTTATCAAAATCCAGCAGCTGTTGGATCTGGATGCACAATAAGTCGGACTCGCTCAGATGGTGGTGATTATATTGTAATCCCTTCCGGGTCAAACGATGGGCTAACAATAACTCAAGATCGTTTTTGTGGCCAAAGATTATCATCAGTTGACGGTTCAACCGTTTCAACACCAATCACAAGTAAGTTGTTATCCTAAATTTGGTAATTGGAAAAAAATTCATTATTCATTCGATCTCTCCATTTTACAGGTTACAGCAAACCATTTGTTATGTATGTCCACAGCGATGATACAGATGATATTTCCTTCTCTGGCCCTACTAATCAAAAAGGCTTCGCGTTGAAATACGAGCAAATTAACTGCTCTTGATTGTACACTTTACTGCGCGATTATGCTTTAAAATAAAATGATAATATTTTTGAAAATTTTGCTATTTCATTCATTTTTACTCATCCTAGTTTACAGAAACAATACTTACAGATTGCAAATAATAAAGAAGTATAAATTATTTTATTATAACATTTTATTCGTTTCCCTTTTTAATATTACTTTTCTAGTTTATAATATAATATAAAGTAATAAATGAATTGACAATCTTAAAAAAAGATGAAATAGAGAGTTTGCTTTGATGGAGGAAAAACACAAAAATTAAAAATACAATGAGAAAACAGACAACAAAATGATGAACTGGGACATGAAAGTTTCATCATTCATTTCAAGAATCTGAGCAATAGCAAAATTTAATATGAGATTTGTTATAATTCTATAAATTTTTCAGCTTAAAAGGTTCTTTTTCACTATCAAACAAGTTATTATGGACTTTTAGATAGAGAAGAAATGCACTTTCAAGTGAAAGAAGGGTGTTGATCTTAAAGCGACAATCGAAGTTGGATAGTCATCGCCTTAAGAACATACCATCCTTTAGTTATAAATTGGATTTGGATTGCACGTTATTTGGCTAATGCAATGATAAATGTCGTGTCGATAATGTAGTTACCATTTACTCGTTTCTCAGTATTTATTGTCCTTTTTTACAGAGTTTTTTACTTTTGCTTTGACTGTTTTCCTCATTATCATCTCAATTTTGCTTTGTGGTTTAACCAAATAAGTTAAAGGTTCATAGATGCCAAAGTTAAGTTTTAGTTTTTTAAAAAAACAGGTTCTTGGACCGCAATCATCAATGTTAAAATTGTGCAGATCTTGAATGGAAATCACACTTGATCCACTAATCCACTTGCAACCCCAGTTGTAATTGCAGTACTGTAATAACGATTGAAAAAGTAATATTAGAGAAATAATCTAAAAAGTTTTCGGCATGAATTATCAAAAAAATGTTGCGCGAAGAGCAATCAAAAATTAGGGTGTGTAAAAATTGCCGTGAATTCGGCGAAAGGTAGAAAGAAGGATAGCCAGATAAAATTCAATCAATTGACAAGTTAAAATGTTTTAATAATGGGCAACTGATTCATAATCATAATGTGTAAATTGACTAACGAGGTATTTTTTCTGTTCTGTATAGTTCCTCACTTGGTCTGTATAACTTTGCCAGTATCTTGTTTCCCTTGATATCTTGTCTTCCCTCTTGTCCACGGCAGGTATCTATATTTATACATATGCTGTCAAAAAAATAAAAAATACATTATTGATTGATTCAAATTGTAAATTGAATAATATACAAAGAACTGATAAGAAATAAATACCTTGATTTGTCTTTTCATAGTGATAGCGAAAAGAGTACAAAAGTAAACCAATAAAATTGGCCAAAATACAGGAATATTGAAAGCTTCGAAAAATGTACAAAACAGCGCAATCCCAGTAGCTCTAGTTGCAGAATGCCTACAATGAAATTTGGAAGATGATTATCATTTGATTATAAAATGTTTACCTAATCAAAAACTAGGATTACTTACCAAAATTTAAATTCTGGTAGACGTCTAATGAAGGGTCTAAATTCTTCATCCCTACTGGTGGGAAGGCTTGGTCCATCATCTAAATCATCATCTCCTAGAGCTGGATCAACTTTGGGTGTCAAGAAGGCAATTAGAAGATTTAGATAATAAATACCAAGAGCATATGTTACAATATACCACCCCTCTAATAATATAACTCTTGTCATATAAACAATAAAGAAAAAGGCTGTGAATATCCATCTTCCTGTGGCATAGGGAGTCCAGGCATCAAGCAGGCTTTGGTAACGCTGTCCAAGTGATTCAAAAAAGCGAATAAGAAATGGACGTTGTGCTCGCAAAGGTTCGTCTTCCATTACACAAAGCAGTGACCTTAATGTGAGCAAAATAAAGTTACAATTCAATTAATAATTAATGCGAACACAATCAGATGACACAATCAAAATTTAACATTAGTCTTGAAACATAGATCTATGATGTTGTCTATTGCACTATGAACTCAATGTACAGTCATCTAGTGTCTATTTTAGACACCGGTATTTGTAAACCGGTAATTTCAATTAAAATTCAAGTCAAAATTAAACATTCATTTGATTTATGATTTTCTATTATAAGTTATTGTCCAAGTGAATATTTACAAGCATAAATTAGTAATTAACGAAATTTTTTCCTTCTAAGAAATCGTGAGTGTCAAATTTTCGACCTTGTTAATTTGTATTGAAATTAGATAACAATATTATAGTCTCTTTAATCTGTTTCTTTCTTGTTTAAAATTTCTGCTAAATGTAAAGCGAATAGATAGTTGGATTTATATTTTATAAGCATATTAGATATTATATTTTAGATTATTTATCATGATCAATAAAATTTTCAGCATTCATTAGTAATTAAAATACTTACCCTGAATAAGCACAAATAATTTACAGATATTTATCCACCTTTGGTCTAGAAAGAGAACTCAAAATGACAATCAGCTGACCAGTTTTGCTTTTTTGATTTCAACTGCCAAGATAATAACATTCAGTGTTTTGATAAATTTTAATTGTTATTTAATTTACCAGTATTACCCACCGACAACTTAATCGTAAACCTTTTATGTAAACTCGACATCATGGATATGAGAAAAATGAAAGATGATGAAAAACTTAATGTTTGTAAGAGCTACTTTTATGGTAAGTCTTTGATTGTTTTATATTTTAACAAATCCCAATTACTGAGCTGTCAATAAATCGTGATTCATGTTTAATATTCAATATTTCGAGCTAATGTCTTTTGATTTATTTATTTAACAGGCGGATTCTTTTTCCTTCCTTTTCTATGGCTTTTAAATGCGTTTTGGTTTTTCAATGAAGCATTCCTAGTGTCTCATGAATATTCCCAAAAAAAGCAAATCAAAAAATATGTGATTCTATCTTCTATATGCTCCGTGGTTGAGCTTTCGTTAATCATTTACTGGATAATATATTTCCAGAGGAACCGGACTACAGCAAGTTGGGGAGATTCTCTTTCTTTCTTGACCCCTAGAGGAATAGTGTGAATTTGTCGCTTTTTTAACTTTCAGTAACTGTCGTGAATTTTCTAACTACGCTGATTAAATATTCAATATAAACTCAAACATGCCGCTGTTATGTTATTTTATCTGTGAATCGGTTAGGTCTTTTTGATTGTGAGATTCAAGTACTCGTAAATCCTTGTGAAGGTTTTCATAATCATGCTCTTACATATTAAAACTGCATGGGATACTTATCCGTTATCAAACGAAGTGGAAAGATGAAGATGAGATGCGATTTTCAACATGCTAATGTTATAACCATTTCATTACTTTATTGCCACGTGAAAATGAATCGAGTTTAACATATTAGAGGGAAAATAAAATTAGAGACAAGCAAACTTGTTAGATTTGGTGCTTTACTGCTAGAAAACCAAAAAAGTACAACTAATATTGCTGAAAACTTAACTTTTGAGCAATCAAATCATACAAATTGAGAATGAAATGACTTTTGGTCTATGGTTCATACAAAAATTTTGAATTTAAATTGTTATGTATAAATGCCGTTGGCATGCTTCTTTATTTAAATTGTTCTTATAAATTAATTTCTCTAATTTAATAATTGCTCTTATCATCTTAAAATAACCATATACCCGAGAGTATCAGCACAGGTTTAACCTGGATAACATCAATCGCTTCCAATCAATTTTGCTTTTGAAGCTTTTTATAGGCCCGTTTACGTGTTGCTTGTAGGTTATTCATTGACATTTTGGACATGAAATCTGCTGATGGAGAAAGACAATTGACCGTTTCAGTGATGCTTCCATATAATTTGTGGACCCAGAAACCATAGGTTCGATTCTCAAAACCAACAGTAGATAATGTAGATCTTACATATTTTGATGCATTTGGTACGAATAAAGAAGGTCTCATACGACTCATGGCAGTTGCAACAAATGCAGGAAGTACACTTTGAATGATGATTCCTTTAGATTCATACTCTAAGTGTAAAGCACGAGAAAAGTAATCGACATAAGCCTTGGTTGCCGAATAAACAGTCAGCAATGGTAATGGCAAGGAACCAGCATAAGATGCGATGTTGATTATGACACCTCGGCGGTTTGCTTCCATTCTAGATAAAACTATATGAGTCATACGGGTCACTGAGACAATATTGACATTGATTAAATCTTCAATCAACTTCCATGATTCCAATTTGGTGAAGTATTCAGGGAAAGGATATGAGACACCAACATTATTGACCAAAACGTCAACTGATCCTTCTAATGAGTTAATTTTAGCTTCAACTGAAGAGTAGTCAGTTGAGGTGAAATCAAAAGCAAGGGTTTCAATCTTACGAGCCTTGGGGCAGTTCTGCTTAATGGTGTCACTAACTGCATCCAATTTTGATTGCGTACGGGAAATTAGAAGAACATTGTAGCCTTTGTTAGCTAATTGTTTACCATATTCAAGACCGATTCCATCGGTTGAACCAGTGACAACAGCCCAACTATCTGACCCAGGTGCCCATTTAACTCCTAACCCTAAAGCTGGTCCAAGAAAATGGTTATATACAACTCGGATGATTTTAACAATTAACCAAATTAGAAATGCATACCAGACAGAGCGGCCTAAACAGTCGTAACAGTCACCCATTTCGTATTTTAGATATTAACCAACTGATGATCAAAAGATTTAGAAACACCGTTGAAAACTACACTTTAGAACGAAATAGAGGTAAGTTTGTGACGATCTAAACCACAAATTTATAAGAAATGAAGTAAAATGACGTCAAGTAATGATATGATAAACTGGTTACTGGTTAAATTTTAGAGCAATAGCGTTTGTTGCGTGGTTACCAAGTGAGTGGATCTACTGATGACTGCGCAAGGAAAGCCAAGGTAAGGGGATAGCAGTTCAGCAAACCATCACTTTTAAGGTAAGGATATTTTTGAAAAGAAAAGAGTATGAACGATAATTTCAGGGTAGAGAGTAACTCACTTTTATCTCAACAATCAAATATAAATTGGCTTAACAAGTTAGCGACGAGCTAGAAATCTTGGACAGTTTCTGAGATTCTTCTCCAATTCAGGTCCCAACCCTTTGACTTAAAGGTTTGTATGAGAGTAACATAACTGTAATCAAAAAACTATCGAATTTGAATTTCTTTTAGAATTGAGCTGAAACAACAATCCTTGAATATTAAGGGAGAAAAATAAGCTTGAGGAAATAGAAAATATAAAGGAAAAATTATCACAGCTATTTGAGGAAATTTAAATGTCAGATTGTCTAAATCAGTAATTTTAAACTTGAATAATGTTTGATCTATAGTTGAATAATAGTACAAAAGTTTCAACCCCTTTATAAATAACCTTGACGAGTCTGTTAACCATGATGGGATATTAGCATAAGGTAAATAATTTTATAAATAAGGCAATATTGGTTCTTTAAACAGAGAGAGGATTTAAGTTTTCAAAAATTTTTAAAATTTTAACATTGTGAACCACAAAAGTGAATATACCGGGATTTGGTGGTTATCTTAAATAAAAAAGCAAAATAATAAATAATTATCGAGTTCCATTTTGTAAGTTAAGGAAGAAAATGTAAGAAGACGTTTAAGTAAACATGATTAAAAATAAGTAGTAATAGTTGATCAGTCGATGAGATGAGCTCATTCAAAGTCGAACTCCTGGGACAGCGGGTAGAGGTCTTTTAGGGTTTTCCCTAAAGTTATTGGCGTATGGGACTCGAAAAGTTGATAAAGATGGTGAATTGAGAGGGAAATCAGCATAAACAGCTTCAGGACGTCGAGCGCTCATAAAACGAACGTCAATTTCTGATTGAATTTGCTGTGGTTGCTGTTGTTGTTGTAATTGTTGCTGCTGCTGCTGTAGTTGTTGTTGCTGCAATTGTTGTTGGTGGTTTCTAGCATTGATTCTAGATGTATGATGAGAATAAACTGGTCTAGGTTTTTTATGAGGTCGACCGCTGGTGGCGAAGTTCATTTGTGAGCCAACAATCATTTGTTGATGAGCAGGCAGTAATGGAGCTGCACTTCCAAGGTGTCCTAGTCCGGATCGCTGTCGTCTTAATGATCTACCTTGATAATGGTCACTATTTGATGAGGGCAGATATGCCACATTGTCATATGATGCATCAGGAAGTAGAGCAGTTGATGAGCCAAGAGCTGCCATTCTCATTGCATCGGCAACTTCTGAGTAAGTATGAACTGCATATGGTGATGGACCATTCAATAAAAGTGAACTTGGCATCTGAGAACGGTTGATCGTTACTCCAGCTGCGTCAAGTTCAGCATAGACTGGACTAGATGTACAACTGCCTCCGTCTGGTATATTAGTATACTCTTCCATATCAGCTCCTCTGGAATCCACTCTCCCATCTCGAGATTCTGGATTTTCATCACTTCTTCTCCAATATTTACTTGGAATTGAAGTTTTGGTTGGACAACTTGTTATCACACTTTGTGGTGATTTTTCATTTACAACAGGAGAAATACAATTATCTGATGGTGCACAGGGTGGTGGAGCATCCTTTAGTCCTCTGTTCATGCTTTCCGGGAAAATGGGACAAGAGTCTAATCCACAAACTGAATTGAGAAAACAAAAAATTGTATGAAATTTATAATGATCATCCCATTTACAATAAAATGAAAGATTTTATTTTTATTTTGTCTCAGTTTTCATCAAATCAAAGTATGAATAGAAATTTACCTGAAGGGAATAACTTCCATCTGCAAGAGAAAAGAAATCCAATTAGTAACTGAACGAGAACACATACTAAACATTGTAGCTTTTAGAACTTACTTTCTGAATCTGAATAGTATGAAGAGCAAAATAATACATAAAATTGTTGATCCTAAAATTGAGCCAAGCAATAAAGAAAGCCAAGAATCATTGGTTTTAAATTCTGGTTTAGGAACAACAAGCTCTGAGTCTGTTGGGTTACTGAAGATATGACAGAAGTTACAATCATTTGTTCTCTCATCAATCAGAGAATGATTTTCATTTAATATTTGAAGGAGATGAGGTGGTAATGGTGGTGGTGGTGGAAGCCAATCAGGGGGTGGTCCAATTTCATCAAATAGATTACAAAACATATCCTGACAATTGAGTAAACTGTCATTATGAGACCATCCCATAGATTGTAAAGGTGGTAGCATTTCTTCAGCAATAGGTCCACTGAAACTACCAATGCTTTCAGTCAACCCGAAAGCCATTATTAACTGAAATAAAGATGAATAATAAATAAGAATACAATCAATTCACTATTGAATACAAATAAATCTTAAGTAAATAAAACAATTGTTTACCTTAATTAGACAAAATAACAATTCCAGGTCACACTGAAACAAAATACAATAACAAATAAAATTAAGATCTGCAGAGAGCCATCTTACGGACTACCGAAGCCTTAATGTTAACAGTCAGAATAATATTCTGATCTTATAGATTAATGTTCAGTGACCTAACTCCAGTCTCAGATCAACTTTTTGTTGAAAGTTCTGTACAAAGATGGAACCCTAAGTTCAGTAATTTAAGCAGTGGATCTTTGAATTTTTAATTAAATATAAATCAACTAGTTTTTTTTGTTATTTGTATTAACATTTTACTGCTAACATTGTAAGTCCGCTCAGGTCGTTAAATATCAGATTATAATAGATTTATTTGAATTTCTTCCAAGTTTAAAATTAATTAAGCAACCCACGGATCAAAATTCCCGTTTTTCACTGATTAAGTCTACCTAAGTACTTATATCCATCCAGATCTGCAAATTGTCATCCAACCAACCTTAAAGCTTCTTCAAATCAAATTTCATATTTTTCACTAAAAACTCAAAGTTCAAATCAAAACCAAATTGAGAAATTAAGAACTCAAGTTAAAAATCAGGAGACAAAACAAAAGCTTGAAATTTCACCTCAATCGATGGCAAAATGGACGAAATTCAAACCATAGAAATGATTGAAAATTCCTTAATCATCATTACTTTTGTCTCTAGGATTTCATCTCTATCCATCTTAAAATAATTTCAGCCTTACTTACGAATAGGAAACTTGCACTGTAATAATGATTATAATTTCCTCAACCATCTGGATAATTGTCTGCCATTACAGCTTAAATTTAGCACAAAATTCACGAAATTAAATTTCTATTTCTAATTCATGAACAATCAGTATTGCAAATGATTAAAATTAAGTGTATTAACCTAAAAGTTAGTTAGAGCTATCAATGCCTAACTATAGATGGAGTAAGTAGCTTTAAATTCAATGTTATATCAACATTTTAACTCCATCTCATATTAATAGGTTTTTCATGCAATATTTTAACCAATTTATATTACTTCAGTTTAAAATACCAACTATTTTTGGTTAACCTATTTTCAAGTAAATTTGCAGTTTAAATAATAATTGTTAAACAACAGTGACATTAAATGAATGTTTACTGAAAGTGCATTTGATAAAGTTTTCTGGTTATTATAAATGCTTTTCCCAAACCCATCATTGCTACTTTTTTTTCATTTATCCTGTGAAGCTGATTGAATGCAAAAGAAGATTAAACTGTAGTTACAGCATTTTATCATGAGATTGTGATTTTGATTTACAGTAAGACTTTTGAAAGAAAACAAAATCGAGAATTACTAACAAGAATTTTTTTTTCTCTCTCGTAAAAGATCAACTTTAATTTCATTCCTGTACTCAGTAATGAGGTAGAAGAGGAAAGAGATTTGAGAAATGATAATAACATTCACAATCTTGACTAATAACTATTTACAGGCAATCATGTCAACCTGGATTCTGGTGTATTTAAGATAAATCATTTTGCTAATAAGCAAGTGAACAACAAAATTAACCTTCATTATATTTCCCTAAACATATAACAGATTGATAGCATTTAATTAAGACTGGTAATGAAGACAAAAGCAAAGACTATTGGTAGTGATAAACATTGGCTCAATTTAATATTAACTTTCATTGATTCAACCTGCAATTGTAACCATTATTACAAATTTTCTCAGCTATTTATGATAAAGCAAGATTTTTCAATGAATTCATTGATGAAATGGTTGATGTAAATGGCATTAAAAGTATTATTGCAGGTGAAATGAAATCGCGAAAGGCTTAAATTGAATCCATATTGAATAGTTGAAGTGAATAGATAAATAAGATAAACTGAGTTACCCAAATTAAATTAGACCTTTCAGGTTATAAGATATTACCATTCAATGCAAATGTTAATGTTCATTGAAAATAAAAACCTTTTTTATTTGCCTCTCTTCACCATTCCCAGCCAGTGATGCCAATAATGATAATGATAAATATTTGATGCATATTTTATCCAAGATTACAGGATAAATACAATATAACAGCAACACATTGAATAACTGATAATTTATGGGCCAATCCAGTCAATTGATTCAACTGGATATTATTAAATTAGAGGTACAATTGTAATAATGAGTAAGTGTCAATTGAAGGAAAATCCTTTGCCCTTTATTTAGGTGTTATAAAATGTAAGATGAACTCGTTATACATTTATATCATTGGGTCATTGTAATCTAACCTTATGGTAATCTTTACACAACATTTCATTGTAATGGAAACCAATTTTACACTCGATACCAGAATAGAGCCAACAATCAAAAGGCAAATTTGGGTCCAAGATTGGGTTAAAACTTGAAGGTGAAGCCTCTGGTTCAACAATTGATTGTAAATTGTCTTTGACTTGAAATGTGAATTGGTTCGACTTCTTGAATACTGATATTGAGTTGTATTTACCGTAAACTTGAACTATTGATTTAGCATCAGATTTAGCTGGATATTTATAGTTACTTTTTAATCAATTAGCAGGTAAATCCATCATGGTGGAAGAGTAATGCTCAGAGTTTCAAATTTTCCAGATAATAAACAATTTTGAATCATTCTTGTTCTCCTCGTCTGGTATCAACTTTTTCTTGCTTCTTGTTGATTCTACCTGATCTTACTCAGCATTTTAATTTTGCTGATTACATCAAATATAAAGTGGAAACTCAATTTTCCTCTTTGAACACTTTTTTGTTTCTCCTTTGATGCTTTCCTTTTTTTTGATTAATCTTCAATCTGATCCATGTAACTGCTTCCTAATTTCATCTTCACCCATTACCGTCAGCATCTTTCTTCTTTGTCTATCTTTGGCTTGCATCTTCTGTTTCTGTTGGTTTCAGTTGACTGCACGATAGAAACCAATATCAGTGAAATTAAAAACATAAAAAGGTTCATCAATTGAATGGACTCAATGTATTAAACAATAAAGATCACTGAAAGTTATGCCAATGTACAGTATATCGCGTGATCACAATCAATTGATTGTAAGAGAGAGAAGACAAAAAAGATCAAATTATCTATTGTATCATGAGCCATTTTAATTGTTTCATCCTTGTCAAAATTCATTACAACTATATATCCTTTCACTCAACTGACACGATAACCAATTTCATACTGGTAACAGGTTACATTTAATTAATTGATTAGTGTTGATTTTACTATTGAACACTCAATTTTCATTCTGTTGTTCCAATGTAAAACATTTCAACAAAATCTATTGTAAATTAGGCTAAATGTATTATCAGTCAATCCAATTGTTACAAGTTTATAATTGCTTGAAACATGATTTAACAAACTGAAATGGAAGTGCAATTACCACTAATTAGAAAATGTGTGTCCATAATAGATTCATCATTTTAAATTACATTGCCTATCCAGTTGAGTTAATCCTGGTGGTGTAAGACTGAACAGTTATTATAATCATAATGTAACTTTAACGATCAATTATTTAAACACATATTTATGACAAGGAAATTAGAGCATCGAACATCATAATAAATTCAATTTTCTTCTCAATTAACACCAATCTTCAATGGGTAAATGATGAATCAACACTTCCAACAAAACTGAATGTTACCGGGGAATTGGAGGTAATAACGGGCGAAAATAAATTTCTTGCAAATTAAGACTCTGTTGGTTTGTAGAGACAAAAAAATTGAGTCCATTTGTGCAATTTAAAAATTCCTCTGATTGCCAGTTCTTTAGAAAATCAGGTTCGAAGTTGAAACTTGCTAAGCTTTTTGTACAATCATGGAAGTAGATTTTGCATTATTAAGCATCAGTACTGATGTAACTTTTGATGGTCAACCAGGAAATGTATTCATTTTGAGAAATGAAACTTTTGTTTTTCTGTTAAACAGATTAGTTCGATTTTTAGTTAAATCGATCGCATTCTATGGCCGTAATAGTTAGCAAACTGAAACTTATTATTTGTGCATAAAAATTGTTGGCTCACATCATGGATTGAAAAATTTTATCAATTTCATAGCAGTTCTCTTGATTTTGGCCATTAACTTTAAAACTTTGAGGCTTGATATTTCGAGAATGATAGCGCCTACAATGATCATTTTTGAACCAATTCAATTCCTTACTAATCTATAATTCAATTCAATCAAATAACGATCCATTAGTGCATTTGGGTTATGGTTTTTGGGCTTTAAATGTGCGAGAAACAACTTATTTATCAAAGTAAACTCATTTCAACCCATTTCTTGGTAAATGAAACAATTTTCTGGTTAAACTTGCAAATTAAATGCAAAAAGTAGTGCTAAAGGCTTTAGCGTTTGAGTAAAGAGTTGAAACTTTGTGTGTTTGCAGACACATAAAAACTAAGTCCATTGGTACTATTAAATATTTCATGCGATGGACAGTTTTCTAGAAAACCGAGGTCAAAATTACAACTTCGATCGCCTTTTATTCAGCAATGAAAGTAAATTTTCTCACGAAACTTATTTTACTGATGTACCTTCTATTGACCAACCAGAAAATGGTCTTGTTTTGAGAAATGGCATTTTCTGTTTTCGTAAAACAGATCAAGTTCAATTTTCAGTTAAACCGATCGTATTCTGTGGCCGTAAGAGTTAGAGAGCTGAAACCTATTATGCATAGATAAATATTGTTGGTACAAATCAATGACCGAACACTTTTTACAATTTATCAACAGTTCTCTTAATTTTGGCCATTGACTTGAAAAACTTTGAGCCTCACTATTTCGGGAATGGTATCATCTGCAGTCACCGTTCTTGAGCAAACATTAGATTTCATTATGGACTATAATGTATTGAAAAATCAAAGCACTCAAGATCACAACAGAAAAAGTTATAGCATTGTTTTACTTATATTGTAAGATTTGATGCGTTGTTTATAAAGCTGAACACAAATCTTTTGCGTTAAAAGAGTCTTCGCTATTGCATAAGATAGCTCAGATTTTATCCAGTATTTAGTTATAAAATGTTATAGCCCATAATGAAATCTAATGTTTGGAGAAAGAATGATCATTGTAGGCGCTATCCTTCTCGAAATATCAAGCCTCAAAGTTTTAAAGTTAATGGCCAAAATCAAGAGAAC